TGCGTATTTTTTTTCTGTATTCGCGACAGCAGTTGCCATCTAATACATTTTGCAGTGTGTACCTAAACACCCTATATAAATATATTATTAGATGTGTGTGTGTGTTTAATATAACATACAATATTTGGCTGTGTTACCAAAATCGTATTTTAATCGCTCGACCGACTGCTTTGGTCTTGTCGTTTATATTATTATTATACATACTTATACATACATATTATATATCTATATATCTACACATGTACACGGTACACGATGCGGATATCATAATCTCGTAACGCCGACCGGTGGAGGACACAGAAGTCGGATTATACATGTGGTGTGGTAACAGGTGGTATAATATGATACACACATGAATGCATGGGGAAAAAAGTTTAGAATTTTTGTATGAAAAAAAAATATGAAAGAAAATACATAATATATATTTTACCTAAAATATTATACTTAGACGTGCGCGGGTAAAACTGATAAACAAGAACATTTTTTAAAAAAAACAGTCTGGGACAAATATTATTATACATATATAAATAAATATATATATATATATATATAGGATATAGGATTTTATTCTTTTCGCTGATATGTTATTAAAATAATAACGCCATTAAAGGGAATTCTGATGTACCGCTTTAGCATCGAGTAGTAGTACATCGTGTATACAGGTATACATGCTACCGCGGTAATTTAGCATCATTAGTCAAGGAGACAGCTCTCGGATCTGTTGGCCAGACCTATGCCAGTACGCGTACTTCTGTTATATACTTATTTACTAATATTATATTGTGGTCGTGGCTGGTTCGACCGATTTAATGAGTTGTACAATACAAGCCGAACGTGTTTGGACGCAACAGGTCTATTATTGTGTATAATACATTTCGGTTATGTTTTATAAATAAAAAATTGATATAGGTTTTTTTTTTTATCAAAGTGCCGAAGTAGTACAGGAAATAAAACACTATTATCTGAAAATAATTCCCATAGTTTTGAAATTTGGCACAACTGTTTATCTCATGATACTTAACATGCTAAAACTCCTCACCTCTCAAGCGTACGATCTGCTGTGCTCAATATGTAAAAAATTGGTTTTTCGTTTTTTTTCTCTCAAAATATATTAATTTAATAAAACACCTATATCAACCACAAACTAGATGTGAAGTATGTGACTCAGATCTTACAATCAAGCATATCATTCTCGGGTGTCATCGTTGGTCAGAGGAAAGAAATATTTTTTGTGACAACACAAGCCTCAAAACCATACTATGTACTGGGAATGTTCCCAAATTATTTTATTATTTAAAAACGATTAACGTGTATAACAATTGTTAAATGTGTAATGTAAAACTAGCTTAAAATGTATTGTAATTAACTAACCAATATCTGGCTAATAGTCTAGTTGCTGAAGTCATAATAAACAATTTAAAAAAAAAACAAATATTTATATAATTTTATTCTTCATCTTTCTCTAAAGGCTATGCCTAGTCATTTGCCGTTTAGCCTAAATATAGCGTAAATGTCTTTAGCAGATTCTTTTTATAACTTGCAATTTTCACTGCTAGTGTGTGACATAACGCTCTGAAAGTTGCTCTCGGCCCTCTAGTTTTTTTGCCTAAAACTTTCTGTTCTATAAAAAAATATTTATTATTTTTATTGATAATTAGTAACATAAAAATATCATGTTTTCAGAAATTCTTTTATGATGCAGTAGGCGGCAAAATGGTTGCTTTGCGTTTCATCATCATCAGTTTTTAAAGGCAGTTTCCTACCTTGAGAACAAAAGAGTGCCCCACTCTACGCATCTCATCCACCCATAAGGCCGTTGGCTTTGTAGATGCGTCTCCTTATCCCGGGAGACTTTCGGTTTACCAATGAGTAAATATATATGGGGGGGGGGGGGGTAGGAATCACGCACAAAGACAAACCGTCTATCAATTGTCAACATGTCAAAAGTGATTACAATTTTTATACTATTGTATATTATAAATACACATTATAGATACAGTAGTGCCATCTAGCGGATATCGTTTCTCGCAAATTATAAATCGTGAAGTTGTGATGGAAAACACTGTTTAGTATTTACTTCTTTAAAAAAAAAATTATAACTATTGTTTCTAAAATGTTAAGAAAAAATACAATGCAAGTACAATTGTAGATATCTACATTTGATTTTACTTCTATTATAATACAAAATAAAATAAGAAGAAAAATGCGAAGCTCTCTGGTTAAATAAATAAACAGTGTATTGTACTCAGTTCTATAACAGGCTTTTAAATAGAACACGGTGTGTACTTTTATGAAGTACACGAGTATAATATTTAAGTGAAGTATTCTGTACCATGAATTTGACTTGTTCTTTTTTCTCTAACGATGACATATTTTTATGAACGATATCTGCAGTAAGTAACGGCTTTATTATAATACCTATTGCACAGATTGTATGTAATAATTAATAAACCGGTTTGTTCTAATGGCTTGTCAAGTGTTATGATATCTTGAAAGTACACAATTATGTTAACATTAGTATTTTATACTGAGAAGAGCGGTACTGAGCTTAAGATACCATCTATAAACAAAGTAGCAACTCTTATTTAGTACACAGTTTGATCAGTAGATCGCATACTAAGTTTGAGTAAGTAGTGTGCTCAATTGCACCTTATCTGGTGTTATATTGTGAAATTGGGCCAATTGAACGGCACAAACTTAAAATTAAAATAACGACAGACGGTGTAATTTGTGCTCAATTACACCATATCTGGTGTTATTTTGTGAAATTTGGCCAATTGAATAGCACCTACTTGAAATGTTTAAAATATTTTATACCTTTAAAAAACATATTTTAGGGTACTATTAAGGGTATATGTATCAATGTTTTCGTAAATTTTACATTATAAGACCTTAATTAGTTCGATAGTAGTTTTTTTGTAAAAAAAAAAAAATACTAGTGTATTACTCTTTTTTGTAATGATGATTTTGTGTACTAGCAACATTTGTTTAAAATTGATATTTAAAAAAAAATTTTTTTTTGGAAAACTGATGCTCGCAGCCTCTAAAAATAATTTTAACAATCTGAAAAAAATAGGGAAATATTATTTTACCCCAAGGAACATAATGTCTAGAGAGGAACAAAAAAGCAAAATTTGTAGCTATTGAAAGATGTGTATCTTTTGCAATATTTGTATCTAATGAAAGTAACTCCGCCATTACCTGGACTAACTACAGAGAACGCTTAAGGATCCAGGTAGAGGTGTAATACATATGTACATAGCTTTACTTATTTAATAAACCTGTTTTCATTTCGTTGCACACTTGAGAGTTATTTAGAGGTACGATCGCCTGTTAAGCTTCTCAGGCGATATAGCAAATATACAAAGGAGACTTTAGGGATATTTAAGTGTAGATACGGCTTAGCCATCCGTCCCGTCTTCGGGTCCACTAATTTAGCCCTATCGACTGTCGTTTCGGTCTAGCCTAGTCAACTAGCCAAACAGACACGTTACAACTTAAATACTAAGTACTAAGAATATGATAAGAGTGTGTGTTATTTATTTGAATGGTTGATCTGAGTTTTATTAGAGGACTAGGGAATTGGGAAATATATTATTATTATGTTTTTGCTACGTCTTCGATATCAGTGTGATAAAGTGTTTACGTGTCATGATAACGGGTATTATTCACCATATTTTCAATACTATAGATATAATTTTATGACCAGAATTATTAGAGTGCCTTTGAGCTGGCTCATAGAGGAAATCTAGGATTAACTGCAGAATAATAATATGTGGCATAATAATGTATAAACAGGTAAAATCCAGGTCTTATAAGATTATAGAATAAAATTCATTCGGGACTATTTTTATTATACAAACAGACTTAATTAGTTAAATTATCCAAAAATTAGGTCTGTCGAGCTCGAGGAGTCCAGTATGCGATCGCCTTCTTGCACTCGTGCCCAGTCCACCACAACGAAGCAGTAATAAAAAGTGTTTTGGACTGAATTTTAATAATAGTATTGCTCTCCGAAGCGACAAAAACTTGAGGTCCTAGCGGTGCGTGGCGTTGGGCGGGGTCACGAGCCGACGCGACCGCCTATAATTTACTGAGCACAACGCTATCTCTGAAGCGTTGGTTAAATAGTTTCTCATTGCGGTATAGCTATTACACACTCAATTTTTTAGCGTTAAAACATACCTATGCAGAATGCGTTTTACTCGCTCCGTGATGATTTTAGAGCAAAAATACTTATAACAAAAATTAAATATGATAATATTTCCAAGACAATGCATATTATTCTTTTTTTATTTTGATAAACCTATTTAACATTTTAAATCACATTTTTTAAAATAGCTTCTTTCGCGTTATTATTTTTTAAATCGGATAGGTATGACATAGTACTCATCCAAACTATTGACATTTTTCAATTTTATTATAGGTGTTTTTACTCTAAAACAACCGTGGACCTAGTAAAACGCATCCAGCCAATGGTATGAATAAAAATATTTAAAACCGCTGTCAAGGATGCCGTGATGGTCTGAAAAGTAAATCGACTACCAAAAAATATTCCTAATCACTAAATTTAAAATTACACATTACAGTGTAAGCTTAAAATTAAGATTTTTCAAAAAATTGACAATACCTACTTGGTTAACTTGGTTACTCCTTAATAAATAGGCGGTATCACGGCTTCTTAGGGACCAAAAGCATCGCATAATGAATAAAACAATAATGAAAAAGAACATTAACTAGATGGATTTTTAGCTTTTTCTAACCCCGTTTAAATAAATATGATTTTTTTTTAAGAACAAAATCAGTAATATCATCAGTACTTGCACTAGATAAGAACTAAAAAGTACACATACAAATTTATTTTTTTAAGTTAAATTTATAAACAGCATTAATAACATCTACGAACAAATTGTTATTGTGTTTGATAAATATAATATAACGATAAAATTGTAATTATTTTTTTATTTTTACACACTACATGATATCTATAGGTAATCTATTATTGGTCATCTGTTATTACTATAAATCCAACCTAACCTATATTGTTCACGATAAACAATTGCATAGTCGTAATACCATAGACCTATTGATTTGTCTATAATGAATATTGGTCTAGATTGGGCCATTTACATAATCTGGTGCTGTTAAAATTATGTAACAGATTAACAGAGTGCCTATAATATTTTTTATTACTTAAAATCACAGCAAATCACAATCAAATACAATCTAATTTTTAACTAAATGTAACTATAAAAAATGACAAATTATTTTATTCGACTTCTAGAAATGTTTACATAACAAATATTTTGGAAATAAATTATATATGTACACTAGGCAATAACAAAATCATAGGAACTGTACTAAGGTGCTACTACTTGCATCAATAGTTATTAACACTATTGCGTCGCCAGCCGTCAACATTATATTATAATATTAAATATAATATTTTACAAAGGTTCATACTATTAACTTATCTTGGTAACTTTATTAATTTATATTTTAACTCAAACTTTGCCTTTTGGCTTAAATGCCAGACGGAGAAAATATTTTCATAAAACATAGTCTTCAACATTATAATGAGTTCATCTGGGATTTCCCCCCCCCCTCGCAATACTTTTACTGAAAAAATGTTTAGATGGATCGTTTATTAGAAACATTATCTACTTTTAACTTTAAATTTGTAATTGAACATTTATTTTCGACTATACGTTTGTGTTTATTATTTAAATTTGTTCAAATATAAGTGTTTTTGAAATTGTTATTGGGATTCTTATCAAAATACAATTGTATTTGTTATTTATTATTATTGAAAAATTGATTTTTGATCAATTTGTTTATTAAAAATGTTTTAAATAATTTTGGGATCTTGGAACCATAATTTGGCTTTCATAAGCGGTTCGTTTAATAAATAAGATCTATGATACGAAATAAACTATTTTCTATTACGATATAAAGTTACATTTTATTATTTCCCTACTTTTGCTGACGGCAAGCGGTTGTATGCGTTCTACACGATAACACGTTGTATAACCCGTCTAGTACATCTCTATATCTCGTTCGTCTACAAAGTTTTTATATAAAAGTGCTCAAGATAATAAACTGGACGGGTGATATGCGTTTAACACTAGATAATATTGTAGCAAATATTTTTGACTTATACTAGGGACGTTTGTTTTTAAGCGGTCGGCGAATTGCTTGTGCTGCTAGTACCGCTCGGGTGCACGTCCTGATGGACGACCGGCAGCAGTCCTTCGCGCAGACGTTTTTTCTGTTTCATCCTTCTGTTTTGGAACCATATCTTAACCTGGGTCTCGTTGAGTTGCAGGGCCGAAGCGATTTCTATCCGCCTGGCTCGCGTTAGGTATCGATTGTAGTGAAACTCCTTTTCCAGCTCCGTCAGTTGCTTGTTAGTGAAGTTTGTCCGGCCGGTGTTGTTCATCAGCGAGTCCGCGCTGATCATTCGTGACCGAGTCACCGGCGACTGGTTTAGCATCAGCTGTTGACCGTTTCTAACGTCAATCAAACCTTGGCCCGACATGGTCGTGGTCAGGGTGCCACTGAACGTCGCGTTTATAGTTTGATGATGGTAGTCGGGTTTCAAAGCTAGAAAGAGTAAAAAAAAAAAAACTTTATTACAATTTATTAATCTACACCATTTATTATTACTATAAACTCCGGTGTATCACGTTTTGTTCTATGGAAAACTCTACCATTGCTCACTGGTTTTATTGTCGGAACAGCAAAAGTATTGTAAATATCATAATATATCATATAGGTAGGTGTGTAATCATACCTATATATGAATATTCGTAGTAGGTGGGTTGGTTATTGTGCAAAAATCTATTACTTGACCTCAATCTATACATCAAATATGAAGTAAAATTGTAAGATAGAACTCGATAAACGGAGCTAGCGGTGTATGCACTACACTATTGACTATCAAAATATTAAGATCATCATCAATGTCCAGACTATTGGATTACTATCTCGAGAACGCCGGCTTCGTTACAATACTGGAAACAGCTATCTAGGTACGCGTTGCCACAAAGCGGGAATGGTCAAACCTGCCAAACTGTACACGATTTTTACATTATTCAATTGACTGTCTAGCGAAGCTAACGCTATAACGTCATTAGGCGGTCTTGTAATGCTGGCGAGATTATAAAAATATTCAAGAGCAAAATAAAAAAAAAAATGAAAGACAGAAATAGGTCTATCCTCCTTGTTTGCTTATCAGCTTTGGCCACTTTTAATAACATAATAGCTACCCCTACACATCATAAAAAAAAACATTAAATGCATTTGAGGCGCAACTGTGGTCTTTCTTTGATATTAGAACACGATATAGATTGTATACCACAAGAACTGTTGTGGGAATTGTAATTTGTATATTTACTCACAATCAGACACCCTATTTGATACATTGTTCAAGATAAGTTAAAAGTAAGCTTAGCCGGCGGAAGGGTATGTTACAGTTAAAAAATATTAGCCCCGTGTAGAAATTAAAAAAAATTGTGTACACCCGTCATCAATCTCCTTGAAGTGGTATATTATGTTTGATTTTTAAAATAATGAACTATTTAAACCAAAGACCAAAGTCAACTGGTAAAACGTCAATTTACTGAAAAAGGTCTAACGGCAGAAAAACGAATTGCGTTTGAGAACTCTAATAGGTAAGTATAGTAATCAAAATTATACAATATTCTTTTGTAGTAGGTATTCCACTTTCTTTTTTTTTTTGTAATATAATATGTTTTCATTCCAAATAACATATAAATGAACACAAAATAAAACATTAATCGTATCAAAATATAATAAGAAACTATTAATACGATATTATATTGTAAAATATGTAAAATCGAACATAATATTTTCATAAGGCCAAGACATGGATTCCGAGAAAAATAAAATAATATTATTTTGCAGCATCACCTTAACGAAGACCACCTGGTCATGACGACTAGTCCTACAGGTGACGGGAAGAACTTTATTAATGACCGCCGTATAATGTTTTGACAGGCGATATTTTTATTCACCGCATGTACGAGAGACTTTGGGAAATACATTTAGTTTGGTCTTCCAACCTAACCTGGTTCTCCCGAGGGAATGAATCGTATATAGTCGTCATTCGAGACGGCTATCAGCGCTAGTATGTAATAATATATTAATTGATCGTGGTGACAAATTCTTAGACCTGCGCGACCATCTTTTTTTTTGTTGATAAAATTTCCTGCTAAATAGCGTTCATCAGACAGTACACAACCGAAAAATGAAATCGAAAAAAATGTACCGTACTATTTGCAATATCTATTCGTTAAAAAAACAGGTTAGCACAACGTATTTAAACATCATAACGTATACAATCTCTAATATTATCTACCTATTAGATACAGTAATATATTTTATAAACGTACCCTAATCTTAAAAGTCCTTCGTGAATGTTCATAAATATGTATTTTATTCATAAAGATTGTTAAACGGATTTTTACACCTTATAGAATAATCAATAATATGGTGTAGGTAAATGTATGCGGTGTGTGCAAGCCGCTTGTACTTTGCAGTTGGATCTTGTAAAATATAGTATTCGAGTCCTAAGGCCAAATGTCAAGTAAATACGCACTATACAGTACAGATTGAACGGATTAGAAATTAAGGTGGGTTGCGCAGATACTATACAATACATGAGCGTTGGTTTGCCTTGGATCGTCGAGATTGACAGAAGATTAAGCTAATTTGTATACTAATGCGGTCTCGTTTATTTTTTTTCTATTTGTAATTATTCCCGTACATACAACAGACGCGTGTGAACCAACTTGCTTAAACGTTCGAAAATAATACTTATAATGCAGTGGGTAAAATAATAACTGTACATAGAACTTCAATTATTTGAGGGACCAGTCAAGGTTGGACTGGTCTGGCCACGACCCACTTGGTAATATTATTAAAGTCGACCAGAAGGTTAGAAATGCCGACCCTCGTATTGGCGGCGGCCATATAATTTTACTATAATCTAAATAATGAAGATTTAAGTGAAGATGAAAAATAAAATTCATTTTTTTAAAAAATACTTAATAAATTTAAAATTTAGGAGATTTGCAACATGTTTATTACATAATTTTGTTTTGTTAGAAAAAATGTAATTTAGTTTGCGCACAATAGTTGATGAAGAAATTTCTATCTACCATGTTATAAACTTATTTTTTTAAACTTATTTTTTCTAAATTCCTGATAATTTAATCTATATGAAAAAATGTATGTATATATTAAAATTTTAAAAAAATGGCCATATAGCTTAACTGTTAACAACGGCTGGTTAGGTTAGATTAGGTTAGGTTAACCTACTTAACCTGACTTTAACGGAGCGTCAAGTCTATAAAACAAGACAAGATAATACAATGATAAATAATTATTCAGGCGCTTCTAAATCGTTGTGACAGACGGTGGCGGACGGTAGTATACGTTAGGTATAATGTACATATTATTCGATTAGCCGCTATTATAATATACTTCGGTTCTGGTGCGCTATAAGTATAATATGTTACGTTATAAAATAATGTTTTTCCAAAGCTGTTGGATAGCGCGGTAAGACATGAGGCGCCTATAATTGACGATGACAGTGGAAACGTACATAGGTATCATACTTAGGAAACGCTAGCGTTAATATTTCATGGCATCCGGTTTTCGGGATACGTAAAACCAACCGCACTGTCTTATCTTAGAAACTCAGCGAGTTGACCGGGACAATATATATATATCATAATATGAATGACATATTATTATCGAATGCGCTCACACGATCCCATGACCGTCCTACGTTACAGAAGGCGAGTTTGTAATTTTAATTTCCTTTTTTTTTTTATGCATTTTATTTTCATTTCTCTTTTCCCGAGAAGCCGAGACAAGTTTAACATTATAATGCTCGCGTCAAACATAATATTATAATATTCGTATATTTCTTGGGAACTAGTTTCTTGTCTGATTGGAGTCGCCGCCGCCGTCATATTCGGATCCGTGAATCGCTGTCGACCTATACCTAAGCAGCACTTAGGCGTAGGTACGGTCTCTCTCGCAACGACACATTATAATATTATACCTCATTTGTTTATAATATATTATAATAAATCCCGAAGGACACACACGCGTGTTTTTATAATAACTGTTGTCGTTGACCGACGTCACAATCGTCCATCTGCGACAGCAGTATAATATTATTACATTATATCTGGTAGCCATCACGGCGATTATTCATCACGGTCGGATGCTCCACACACAGTTATCGCCGTAATTCGCTGGTAGCCGCAAAGACGCAAATACTGTAGCCTGGACACTAGCGGTATTGTAAAAAATAAGTATAGACAGGCAAAATCACAGAGGAATAGACCTAAGTACATATTATCAGATCGTCGGAGACAGAAATTGTTAGATACGGTATAAGTGGATCTTTTATGTGGGGTTATAGGTGTTCAAAACTGTCCGTCACAGAATTTAAAACAAGTATTATTACATTACTTTTCTGTAAAAATGTTTTTTTTTTTAAAAACCTTGATAATTTTTGCATCTAATCATAACTAAGTTATGCGAAAGCGCAGTATATCACCCTCAAATTGTATAAGATAAATATTATCATTAAATTGTTTAGTCACGCTGGATGTAAAAATGTATTGCCAGAATCGTTGCAGTACAGCTGTTCGACGGCCGTGCCGTAAAAGGTGTTAAAGTTTCCAACCGCCCGCTTATCTGACTTACAACACCGCTGTGGCTTGTGCTCTCGCGTTTTAACCCAGAGGCGCATAGTATTCAGCAATATCATACTGAACGTGGAACATGAAGTTTATGTAATAAATAATTAGTATCGATTGTCGAATACGGGTTTTAACTAGACAGACTTGCACCGCAATGACTGCTGTCTGGCTGTCAATGCCAAAGTTCGATTAGAGGTATGGCCGATTTGACTACAATCAGATTTCTTAGAATGACCGTAGTTTAAAATATGTTTGTACACCTCACCTTCGCGGGTTGGTAGCCGACTAGTATAGTTAGGGTCCAAAACACGTTGGAAAGGGTAGAGCTTACTACACGCTTAGCGGTCCTCCTCTATTTATTTTTTTTCAAAATTAATACCACTAGTACGATACCGGTTCGCGTGACTTATAGGTCTCTAATGCTAACACTTACACCCGTGTGTGCATTTAAAACAGCAACGAAGCGACGCCTAGCAAGTCTGGCAGCGTAATGCTCTTGTATGTTTATGTAAGTGTATAATATTACACGTGCACCCGACAGCTCTGACCACCAGGACTGCCGCCCGTCAGATGAACCGAACCGATAAGACCAAGTCGGGGTGCGCACACACCATTCGACCACCAGAGTCAGGCTAATGTTCGAAATAAGTCCATTTGTCTGTCAAGTCGCAGTACACGCGTATAACACATTATAATATACTGTGCATTAATATTAAAAATATTCACACGAGCCAGTGTGGATGTTGTTGTTACCTAACCTAACGCTATACACATTAATATGCCTAATAACAATTGATAACTACTAACTACCACCGTCGACCGAGGCAGTCACCCGGGGCGGTCAGTAGTCTATATAGAGTGTTGACTACTGTGGGCACCTAACCTTTTGGCGTTTTCATCATTTCGGGCGTTAAACGGTTCTGGGAAACGAATACAAATATTACATCGTACTTAGTTTAGATTTAGAGAGCAAGTACGTTTGCGGGTTGGACGACTCTTAGGTTTTAAAATAAATTAGACATATTGTATAAGTTGTATGTCTTTAAAAATGCTCATAGTAATTTTATTTTTTTAACAGTTTCTTTCAGAGTTTTAAAACTCTGTTAAACTGTTAACTGCATAACAAAATGTTTCAAAATGTTAGTTATTTCAAAAATATATTAAAAAGAGTTTAAAATTAATTAAAAAACAATTACTATTATAACAATAATTATTTGATCAATGGGCAATATCAGTTACAATATAGCACTAAATTAGTAAGATTCAAAATACTGAACTAATCGTAATATCGTAGTCTTCCTCGTTTTTATTGTATTAAAACAGTGATTTTTTAGTTTTTAAGTACATGTTATCATGGAAATTGTTTTTGTTGTATAGCTTTTTCGGGCTCTAACTATTTAAAATTACACTATTTACACACACTTTTGATTAATTGTGAATTTTTAGTGTAATCGTTTACATAATATTATATTATACATTCTATAGTTCTATCCCGTTCGGTGAGATTGCGTTTGTTTGGCTAAAAACGCTTGACTGTCGGTTACCGGATCGCTGTTTACCCCACCACCTCAGGGTGATTTCAAAACGTCTTGTTTGTGTATATTATGCAAGTCAATTTGGTTAATGGTATATGATAAAAATCGAGGGTCTCGATATCGGGGTGTCGACTCGAGTTTCCAACAGCAGCTGTAATTTCGCTTTACTTATCACCCTTTTACCTATTGATAGGTATAATATGCAATAGCGCTGGGGTGCAAGGTCTATTTAAACAGACACTACCCTTGCCATCTAAACTTTTGACCGATTAAGACTGTAAAAATAATCTTTATAATTGGTTATCGACAGGTCAAAACAAACGCTTGATAAAGTATTTAAATAAAACTAACAGCTCTGGAATATTTTACTTATTTAACCTTGGCAGATCAGTCAGTCTACTCAAGTGGGAGTACCGCAAGATGTGCATAAGTATAAATACTTCAAAACACTATTGTATATAATAACAAAAATGTTATAATAAATAAAAACTACAAAATAGCAATTATTTCTTGAGAAATTTAGTGTTTCAAATCTATCACTCTGTATATTATCGCTTATAAGAGTATGATAAAAAAATAACAATAGTTAACTAAATTAAACGACGCGCTTTCACACGTGTTCTAATAGGAAACTTCAAATTTAACCGTTATTACAAAATAGTAAATGCTCCACTTTTTATTTTTTAAAGTTTAACTTAACAAAATAAAAGTATATCTTAAAAAAATGTATTCATTCTTAAACTTGTGTTTTAATTTTTTTTTCATAACTATGACTATATGTGAACTTTTAAAATAAAAATTGTATTAAAGTTGTTACTATTTTTAAAATAATTGGTCCATATTTTTTTGTTTATAAGTATCATAAGTGTCATAAGTAAATCAGTGTCACCGTCGACTAAAAACTTTTTTGTATAAATCTCAAAATATGTTAAATTTGTAAAAATACAATTTTATGTACATTTTTTCTTTAAAAATGCTTTGAAGCGGTTATGCGAAGACCGGTAACCTCTGTGTTGGCTCTTTTTCTATTTTTTAAAAAAATTTTATTGACCATGTGATTAATTTAACTTTATAGTTTAGGTCGGCTACAAAAAATATAAGTTCGTTTTTATTGTGGTACATCGAAAAAATATATATTTGATTGCGTTTCCTGGTCGACGGTTGGTTAGCGTTTTTCGGAGGGCGCAGGGCTTATGTATATGTATAGATTTATAATATTTTTTTTTTTTGTAAATCCGTTTTTAGTTTTACCAAAGACTCGTGCGACGCCGATTTGCGTGACTTACGTTCTGTGCGTATGTGTTTCATGTTATAACAGCAATATTGTGCTGCTAGCGAAATGCTCTTGTATTTTACTTATGTGTAAGTATATATGTGTATAGTATTTATGTGTAGAATATATACATATAATATCAGCGTGTACACCTGACAGCTCTGGGGCCACCAGCAATGACGCCTGTCAGATGGATCTGACCGATAACGTACACACACATAAGTCGACCACACGAACGAGACTAATGCTCGAAATGTTACCATTTGTCTGTAGTGTTTTAAAAATTCACACGAATCAATTTTTTTTTTTAAGTCGTCGCATAATATGTTTAGTATACTATGTAGTATTATACACTAGTTAATACCGTTATCAGACGGACGCCCATAAAAAAAGCTTCTGGTCTTCCCGGTCGTTCCGACGATTTTGAATATACATATATTATGCCCCGTTAATATAAAACCCCAAATTGGACATTTCCTAGGAAAAATTAAAACCCGTAATAGGTTCTTTACCAGAATTTCAACATCGGTTGCTCTTATTCTTGGACATAAAACACAAAAGATCATGGAACGTAATACCAAATCAATGATTAACAAACATTAAAAACGTGATTACCGATTGCCTTCAATAGAGAGTGCATGGAAAACCTATAAAAGAGTAAAAACTAATAAGTATGTCAAAACAAATGCACACGATTGGTTAACTATTACTGTATCGTCTATGTACGGTCATTTACATAAAAATAATCATAATCTATCCCGTTCGGTTGGACTGAGTTTGTTCGGTTAAAAGCCCTTCGCTGACGGTTATCGGATAGGCTACGCAGTGTTCGTTTTGTTTGTGGATATTATGCAAGCCGACGAGCCATCCGCAGTCAATTTGGTTAATGGTATATGATAAAAGTCGACGGTCTCGTTTTCGGGGTGTCGACTCGAGTTTCCAACTGGATGACAGCAGCCGTCAAGTCATGGTTATACCTACCTATATTATACATCATTACCGTTGGGGTGTGCAAGGTCTGTTTGAATAATGTCGGACAGTCACACCGAGTCAGGGCTTATAGGGATGAAAGCGGCGCCGACATGGCTTACTGTCGAATAAATAGATTCCTGAATATGTTTTCAAGTATAGATATTAGAAAAAAATTGATTCAGCTGAAGAAATATTAGCATGGCGATCGTGGCTGTCTAAATCTTGTCTTCCATACGTAAAGAAATAATAACTAAAACGGTTAAAAAATATTTTTTTTTTTACTTTTAATAAGTTTATGTCGGTATTTAGACATTTTTTTTAGGTTGTTTTGTAGATAAATCTAAAGTTGTGATGTATCATCCTTGTATTTTATGAACACCTCTACCTCAGTCAAGTTTAAACAACTATTCAAATCGGTGATCCACAATTATTTCTGCGTCAACACTACAACACCAGACATGGTATACAATTTAGTGAACTTTTATTAATTTTGGGCCGAGAGCGGAGTAGTAATAATAATATAATAATTAAGAATGTAATAATAATAATTAAGGTACACTAATCACTATCAGCATTAACACCTAAATGGACTTAAGAGTATAGACAGTAATCAGAGCACATATTTTTGAATGCGAATGTGATAAAAAAACAAAAATTACTCAAATTTACTCACCAGCTGGTTTGGGAACGTTTCGCTTCACTTGCATCCACTTATAAGTGGGCACTACGGTCGGCGCGGCCGAATCGTGCTTTTGCTGGTGTCGCTGATTTTGAGAACCTCCGTTTTGCATACAATTGCGTTGTTGGAGATGTTGTTGCTGTACTGCGTATAGGGGTTGTTCTAGCTGGTGTTGATGGTAAGCGGTTGCCTCGTGGTAAGACGACGGACTTTGGTCTTGGGTGCCGTAACACCGGGGGACGCTTTCTCGCTTGACCCGCTGACACCGACCGTCCGCCATCGGCAATTGCTCGCGTAGGTAAAAGTGGTGACGCGGGTGATGGTTCAAGTGCATATCGAAGAACGCGTCGTCCACGGACTTGTCGCAGTTAGGTTCGGCGTCGTCCCGGCCGTAACCCGCACCGCCGTACGTACCGTAGTCGTGTCCGTTATCGTCTTCGTCGCCGCGGTCACCGTTGTCGCAGTCCAGGTTCGTGTAGCTCAAGCCTTCGGACGACGTGACGATAACGTCCGCCTTGGTAGCCGCATCGGCTTGACGGTACGTCCCGTCGGCGGACGGCAGCTGCGGCTGAGTCGCATCTGAGTCCCCATAGCACAACGTCCTGTAATCAGCGGCCGCCGTGGACACCATATTTTTCTGGTAACAGCACTCGGCGTATGCTGAAGTCTCCAGTGGCGGACGGGCCATGCACTGCGAGTCGTATTCCAGTCCACCGTAGTAATCATCGCCCGGCGCATGAGAGTAAACGTTACCGGTACACGTGTTATCGTTGTGCATTCCCATGTTAGATGTCTGCATAATAACACAATATATACAAACCAATTAGAATGTTAACTAAAGAATAAGCGAAATTGCCTTGCGTCAAGTTTAAAAAATATAAGTATTAACTTATAAGTTCATGGTTAGGTTATAAAAAAAAAACGGTTATCCCGCAATTTAGATTAATTGACTTTTACTACAACAAATTTTTCTCCCAATTAAAGTACATTTTTTCACCATACTACTATTAGTTGAATGTTGTATTTATTAATTGATTTATAAGACATGATACATTTTTGAGAATACGATAAAAATTACTACACTACATAATTTTTGTTGAAAATCAACTTGCACGAAGTAGATGTTACCAATCAACCGTGGTCAGATTTTGTCATCCCTTTATTTTGAATATACTAGCATTGAACTACAAGGGTCAAGGAACAGCTTGTGTTAATGTGTGCATAGACGTATGACAAGAATCGGTAAATAAAACGTTCATCGCTTACAAAGACTTAAACGCTTGTCTAACTAAAATAATGTCCATCAGTGACAGACTCAAGGAAATTACCTCTGTCCATATTTTATTGAGATCTAGAAACTAAACAATGCTTTTAGGTTTATACTATGTTCTTTGAACCTAACCCCAGTATTTCGTTTTGTCTAATCTAGTACCTAACCTAGTACCTAACATTTATCACATTCTTCACATTGTATTTTATAAATTTCCGGTTTTTTCTCTTTCCCTTCTTGCCGTAAGCGCTGATGATGAACCATTTTTAAATATTATATTTCTATTTTCAAAGTTAGTAGCGATATTTCTTTATGTAAGATCGGATATAATCTAAAATAGGAGCGGGGTTACAGGTCTATAGGAATTATTACAACTGAAAGTGATAAAATCACTTTCAAATAAACTCATTCTATGTAAATATTTAGACTATTGAAACAAAAGTATTGTATTGAAAATAATGTGCTTAAAATTGTATGTAAAGTATTATGGATGTTACGATTAGGGTGATCTATTGTAGTTTAGGGCTGTGCTTTTATTGTAGAACTCACACCTACAATTAAATTTTTAGTAATAGGATAGATACGATTAGAGTTCATTGTCTATCTATTATAATTTATTGACGTTGTTACCCATAATCAACGTTATAAAAAATATAATTTAACTACTTTTCAAGTACCTTATACCAATTGACTGTTGATTCACTCACACATAGTAACTTAGAAATGTATTACGGTCAAAGTGTAATTTTCTCACTAGGTACACCTAAAAAAGCGAAATAAAGAAAACGGATTTTTACATGTTTTATTGTAAACGTTTGTCGATAGTACTTAACCTTAAGAATATTCTACATAGATTTGGAACCAATTCATTTATTTTCAAAAAAAGTTGAAGAGCGCTGTAGTTTTAAGTTGAAAATTGTGTGTATATTTGTTGGATTTTTTCCTCGATTTTGAAGGGAAATTGAAAGGGTTTTTTTTAAATTTCTGCTCCAATAAAATTCCTTTTAGGTACGATTTCTTATATTATATAAGATTGCTACGTGAAGAAATCGGTTCAGCGGTTTAGAAGACGTCGTGGGTCCAGATAGAAAAATAAAAACAAATCATTGTCAAAACAATACTGTCTCAGCTACGCATCGAAGCCAAAAAATATACACACAACGAGTAATGTCTCGAAAATGTTGAAAATTCAATAAAGTATCTCTAGCGATAATTTTGCTGTCAAATGCCAATGATAATATCTAGAATCATTCCCATAAGTTTGAAGTTCAAATTTTAGACTATGACATGATAATATGTCCGTCTAGGCATTATGTGAGCAAATGAATAGCTTACTTGATAGAACGTAGGTCTGCTCATCGATAACATCACTTTTATTCCTTGTGGTGCACACGGTGTAATTAACCTCCTAGATAGACTACAGTGATGCAAACAGCCGTACGATAATTATAAAATAAAATCACTTATTCCGGTCACTTATAATCGGCGATTGGCTCGGTCACAAGTGCGACGATACGCCGAAAACGGGTCACGATACCAAAAGAAAATATTCTGTTTACCGGTTGTTGGACCAATTTGAAATAATAAAAACACCGGTGGAAATATGCGTTAAGACATGCACGCGAGCGGCGATCACTACTGTCGTTGTGCTCGGACGCCTGCCGAATTTTTATCGATTTAAACGCGTTTTGGATGGGTGATTTAAACGATTAACCATCGTTTTTATATAAAATTAAACGACAATATAATTAAAAAAAAAATTACAAACTTAAATGACGGAGCCGCTCGTGCCAACTGGTTGCGTCCCATGCGACTGTCAAGGCGCGTGGCCGTGCACTGGTCGTGTGGGTCCGCTTGAACGGTGGCGGCGACCGTGGCGACTAGATTGTAAACATGACGTTCAAAAACCAATGACGTACTTACCCATAAATATATTCTTCGGAGGATTGCAAAAAAAAAAAATAAATAAATAACACAATAATAAAGAAAATTAATTGTTACGACGTAGCATTGATACGTGGTCGTGTCTGGGGTGTTGATAGAAAAATAGTGACAAGTGGAAAAATATGAAAAGATAGAGAGAGGATTTGGCTAACTGACCTCACATTTGCATGGGTTAAGGTGCAAGAAACAAAACGGGAGTTATTATATTGTGTGTAAATCCTATCAAGAAAGTTTTGAGCTTAATTAAATACGTTATGCGCTGTATTCAACATCTATTTTACACATACACAATGCATATTTGTAAAATATATAGGTTTTTAAAATACCGACAATATAATAAAAATATTTTTTTTTATACAAATTTTAATTTTTTATGTAGTGTATAAAAAAATTAAAAGTAATATATTTTCATAATATCTTTTATACTTATTTAATAAACCGAAAGATTAAATTAAAAACAATCGAAAATCGTCGTATTGTTTTAAAACCCAAAGAGTGAAATAAACGGTTTAATGAATTTCTTAATACTTTTGAATACAGATATTAAATGTCGCTGTAAACATCGCAACGCGACCACCAACGACATTTTTTAAGACTCGGCTGCTAGGGGAATAAATTCATGTTAATTTGGTTGTATTTTTGCGTATAAGAAGGAGAAAATCATTATATACCGAATGTGTTTAAAATATGTATAAAACGGGCACTCGTGTCATAGGCTTACTAAGATTTAAATTAATGATTTTAAAACTATTAACATAACTGTTATATTATTATTATAAGTATACGTTTTAAGAATGAACGTTGTGGCATTTATTACAGATGCAATGTTATAATTTTTAATTTGTGTATTGTTGCTAAGTTAGTTCGACTTAATTATTACAAAAAAAAAAAGGAAAGAACATTATAATATTATAACACAATATACACTAGCAGGTTAGGGTGGAGGGTGAAAGGGCGATCGCCATTAGGGCCTCAGATGTTTTGGGCCTCTAGAGCTCGTTAAATCCATTATTTCTATTTAAATTACCCGAGAAGGCTAATTTTTATGTAAGTAATGAGCCAAATTGTCCAATCAACTGGGCCGATAATTTACCGCACTGATTGTTGTATGAATGTATTTTTTTTAATACTACTTTTATTTATCACTACTTGTAGTTAAACTTAATACAGAACAGCGAATGATATATTATATACTGAGGTGCCATCTGTCTTTTAACATAATCAAGAATCGATTTGGAAACAAACTATCGAGTCTTCACAAACACAATCTATCGATAGTAACCATCTCTTGGAGTATTATCGGTACTGGGCGACACCTGTTCTTTAGTCTGTGATCAGTTTTTCTCTACCATTGTTATGGCTATATTAAAAAGAATTAAAGATATACCTATGTATAGGCAATTCCAAAATGGAGAAACGACGTAAATATCTTATTATATTAAATAAACATTTTAATTAAAATTACAATTTTTTTATAATTTGTTATGTTAATTAACAATTTATTATTATTTTAACATTTCTGGTGGTTTAATTGTGATCAATCGGGGCAAATGTAAATTCAAGTAAATTTACAATTTCTATTTAACAGTTTTTAATTTAAATTGAACACTTTAAATCGTGAAATAATTGTATAAATGTACTACAAAATTAAATAAAACAAGCATAAACATTGTTGGTATTTTTCTATAAAAAAAAAATTTATTGAATTTATAATTGCCACATTTTTTACAACTACCCATCTTGTTACTAATTCTGAAAATACATTTTTTTTTTAGGAATTTGCTTTCTAATGGTAGCCAATTTAAAAACAGAGCCACATGGCTGGCTCACAGGTATTGGTTTGCGATCATATTAACCATTTTCGGACTAATATTTATTAGCATAATGTTCTATGCCGTTGATTTGATAATGGATGAATTTAGTTACACTAGTCCCTATGAAAAGGTAGGTTATAAAATAATATTTTTAAATAAATTACCGTTAAGCTAAGAAAGTACTTTATTTGGAGTTTATTAAATTGTTTGTTTTCTGAACTTAACATAATATTTTTATATAAATTAAATAATGAAAATCAAAATGAAAATGTTCACATTGATTTATACATTTATTTAATTTGGATCTCTCAAAATTGTTTAATCAATTATATATTTATCTTCGGGTTTCCAAACAAAGTAATGTATTATTTGTGAACAAGTGCGGTGAAATTTTAGTTGCATTTTATTAATTTATAATAAAAAGTATATATTCGATAAATTGGCATACTCTTGAGTTTTAGTTAGTTGTGCGTTATAACATTTTTGTATTTTAATAAAAATAATTCGAATAATATGAGTAAGAACTGAGTTTTGATATTTGCATATATAACTTTAATATTTAAAATGCTAAATGTACTATAACGCTATTAAACCAGTAGAACCTGTTTTATACGCGCTGCTACACGATACTTTTACACAAAATTACATAATACATGTATTTTGTCCGTGAAAACTGTAAGTTGAAGATGAGCCAAAATGATATGTATAATATATTACAGTAAAATAATTGTTAAATTCGATTATAGTCTCAAATAATTTTTTTTAAAACAATCGATACTATCATAAGAAACATAATCAAGACAAAAACTTGTCGAACATTCGTGTATATCGATGGTATAGCCAAACGCCTTTTATTGCTGAGCTCTATGCCGTCTGCTAATTAATGTTGCTTTTATAATATGATTAATAATTTTTATTGACACTTTCAAAACAGGTAGAATCATCTGATCTCAACAATTTTACTTTGCCAAACAACGATTTTTTCGACGAATGCGCACTGGCGGTTTCTTGCAATCCTAACGACACATACAGAAGTAGCAACGGCACCTGCAACAATTTGATAAATCCGAATTTGGGATCGTCGAAAACTCCATTTTTGAGATTCGACGACGTGTACTACAGCGACGGTAAACCCCTTAACTCATATTTTGAAATATATTTATATTTTCCAGAGATCAACCTTCTGAAAGTTTTCCTGAAAGATGTGTTACTTTTCGAGGAAACAAAGTTTCTTTTTTAAAATATATTCATAAAATATTCAACTAATTAAACAAATTGAAATCCTTTCTTTTTAAAAAATTAGAAAAAACTTTGTTTTAATCATATTAAAATTTGTTTAAAAAATTTGAGTCCATCATAATGTGGGGACACACTGTATATATACTTGTGTACATTACAAACATAGTATATTTTTTTCTGTTAACTACAAAACGTTTTTTCTAGTTCTACTAAAACATTTCTGTTTAAAATTATAAATCCATTTGTTAAATATTTCCGGGAAATGCAGTTCTCCCCTAGTGCTTTTCAGAAAATTATTTTAGTTTCCAAAACATTCAGATCATATTTTTACTTCAAACTAATCGCTGCAGGGGTGAAATGCTGGGAGAGGGTAATCAATATTAATTCTAGACTCTGTTAACTATACCGTACAGTGTATACTATGTTCATATATTGTTACTTTTGTATTGCGGACAAACTAGGTGCATCCAAGTTAAGACTGTCGACGAACGGTAAACCTTTGCCCAGCGCTCGTGAACTTCAAGTACGTTTGTTTATGAACAGGCAGTCAAACATACGCAGTAAATACAATCAATTGTTAATGCAATGGGGACAATTTGTGGCTAACGACGTCTCCGGTTTAGCTATCGATATTAATATGGAAGGTATAGTCAGTTTAAATATATTATGCTTGTCCGTTTTAAGTGGATTATATTTTTGTCGTTCTGTAGATTGTTGTGGACTAAAAAACGATTCGTGGATACCCAGAGCTTGCGAAGCTGTGATTGAAATACCGGCTGACGATCCGGTGTTTTCTATAAACAAACAAACCTGTATGACTTTTACCCGAGCCTTGACTTCGGCCAATTATAGCTGCTCGATGAAATCGTCGTCTTTTGTGAGTAACTACAAAAACAATAGATTATTCGACATATTAGTTGAGTTCAATTCAAGCGTCTTTTTTTTAAAGAGTTTAACTTACATAAGGTGTTTTCATGAATCAAGAGACGCTATATTTTCTGCAAGTATATTATCTTCTTTGGGGTAAACAAATTGTTCGAAATTTAAGTCGTCAACGTTCCCCTAGCTTATTTCAGTTGACTTCTACATGAATTGAACACATTGACTCATTCGCTATAGGAAATTCTATTTTTATCAAAATAAACGCTGTCTTATTATTTTACACGTTTAATACAGATAAACGAAGCAACACACTATCTGGATGGTTCTAATGTATACGGCTCTGATCATAAAACTGCATCAAACTTAAGGTCCTTCAACGGCGGTACGTTGAGGATTAACATTGGGAAAAACGGTCAAGCGTTCTGTCCACATACGACAAGTAAATCATCCGGTCAAAACAATTTTCAGTACGTTTCTGGTAAGATTTACACATACAAACATTAGCCGTTGGGCTGTACGATTATGTAATATTCGATTAATCATAGGCGATGCGCGAGTGAACTTAAATTTGGGACTCGCACTTTTCCATAACATGTTTCTGAGATTTCATAACTACGTCGCGTTCCAGTTCAGAGGTCTGAATTCAAATTGGACGGATGAAAAGCTATATCAAGAAACCCGAAGATTCGTCATCGCTACCATACAGCACATCACCTATACACAATTTTTACCAACCATTCTAGGTACCAATATTGGTTTATCTACCACTGGCTGTATAGTATACAACATATTCTACGTTTACTACCATTTTCTACTCAAAATATTGAAATTTCTCTACTCTGTTTATCGCTTGCCTTTAAAGTATAACGGGTTCTACTTCTAAAAAAATTCTATTTTACCTAACATTTCCTTGAGTTTACAATATAGTGTCCAATTCACTCGTAGGTAATAAATACACGAACGAGAAAATTATGTCCAACGATGAAGCGTACGATTCTCGCGTGAATCCATCGACCACACAAGAGTTTTCATCCGGAGCATTTCGGGTACTGCACAATATCGTGCCGGCTAGACACAAGTGAGATTTAACCGAACTTCCAATACCGTCTGAAGCAAAATGTCAAATTTTATCTTTACGTTGTTTAAGCATAGTTTCATAAATTTAAACCACACAACCGTACAATCAGTAGACATTACCGACTGGATGGAACGACCTGTCCCGACAATAGAAAGCAATTCGAATTTCGATAACTTGTTGAGGGGAATGCTGGAAACCGAGACCCGCATCAGTCAACCGTCGTACAATTTACCAGTAACATACAACCTGTGTACGAAAAATTGCGTACAGTGTTTCTATTTGTATTGTGACATTACAGTTGTCAAATCTCATGTTCCACCGAAACGGACCCCTCGGCGTTGATCTTTTGTCCTATGACATTCAAAGGGGTCGAGACACGGGTCTGCCACCGTACAACAAGATCAGAGCGAAATGCGGACTGTCCCCGGCTAAGTCTTTCGACGATTTGGCTGACGTTATGTCGCTGGACGTTAGTGTACATTTTGTTAACCGAAATAAAATAGACAGTTTTATCGTGGTTTCCAACATTGTTATTTGTTTGTACTCAGGATGTTCGGGATTTGAAAAACGTTTACTCGTCAGTTGACGACGTAGACTTCCTCGTGGGAGCCCTGTTGGAGACACCGGACACCGACGCTGTTGTTGGGAATACTACAAGATGTATTATTGGCGATTTCTTTCACAGAATACGAGTCGGCGATCGTTTTTTCTACGACAACCTCGACCAGTCTGGAAGTTTCACCGACAGTTGGTTTTTTATTGACACTCACAAAACTAGTCGTATACTCGGAGCTAATATTAATATAATTATTATGATTGTGTTTAGGTCAACTCGAAGTACTCAAGTCAATTGATCTTGGTCACGTTATTTGCGCCACGTCCGCTGTGGATCATTTACAATGGAATATTTTTACCTATGTCGACAACGGGTGAGATCTTAATCTAGACAAATGTTACACTGATACATTTTTTAACTTAATCGTGTAAAAAACAAACAAAACCACTATTTTAACGAATACTTGCGTGCAGGTGGTTTTCTCCGATGAAATGGACCTGTAACGAAAGGTACACTATAGACTTTCATCCTTGGATCGAAGATCACGAGTTCAACGAGTAAAAACACTATAATTACTATCGATTTCATAATAAATTATTACTGTGTATAAAATATAAATATAAACCGTTTTGTTCGTGATATTAACCAATTGTTTTATGTACAACTATTTAATAATAATAATGAACTCAAATGTATTATTGATTGATTTATTTATTTATTTATTAAATGTATATTATGTACAGTAATATTGTACATAATACACTACATGTACATACCCTACATAAAACCCCTTCCACCTTGATATTTTAGTATTTTTTTAATTACTAAAAATAAAAAGTATTTTCTAATCGTAGGTATTGCAATACCATTTTTTTTTTTTGGTTTTTTGTTTACATGAAATTTTGTTTTTACAATATATATATATATATAAGAGGTGAATTACAAGAAAATAATTAAATTACAAAACCAGTCTCAAAGATAAAAGAGATAACACAGCTAATTACAGAAACATTGTTGGTTGATAAGATGGAAGTTAAGGTGGGATGAATATTATGGGTGTGTAGAATAAGGGTGTTGGGTGAGGGAGGGACAGTTGCAAATGGCTTCTTCGGTATGAAGAGTACAGAGATTAAGGGATAATTTAAAAGCGTGAGCAGGAAGTAAGGAATGGCCAAATCTTAAACGGTAGAAATGAACAATCGCACTACGTGCAAAATAAGATTGTTGAACCATGGCTCGCGGGGACAATGAGTTTATATTTATTGGCAAAGTAGAACAGAAAAGAGACCAGTGGGTTTTTATGTGCCGACGTAAAAAGGGAATGAAATCAGACCAAGGGAGTTTAGAAGGGGAAGGAAATATTAAATACGCAGTAGATTTTGCTAATTGGTCAGCAAATCCATTGCCTTGGATACCACAGTGATCAGGTATCCAAATAAGCTTAATACCAAAATTAGCACGATGTAAGAGGAAGATGTATTCACGTATGAAAGAGTAGCAATGGCAATATAGTTGGTATATTTTTCGGTTTTTAAGCATTTTGGGAACCCCTGGCTGCTACGTGATACCGAGAAACGACGGTCCTTTAAAATATTCACAGTTCACACAAGTCACGAACCAACGGGCAAAAATTTGATTTTTAAAATACAATTTTTAGTTTAATTTAAAATGCCTTTAAAAGGTTTAAAAGTTCTAGAATTTTCTGGTTTAGCACCTGTACCGTTTGTTGGGGCAATTTTATCAGATTTTGGTGCTAAAGTTACTGTAATAGAACAAGTAAGTTTAAAATAGCAAGATGTACTGAGACAAGGTACAATTTATGTTTTTATTTTACCATTATATTAATTATGAAGTATTATAATCAAATTCACATGTATGTTTCACATTTCTTTTTTTTTCAATGTTAGACAAATGCATCTTTTGCGGAATTCACAAATTTGCTAAGCCATGGGAAAAGATCCATTTCAATTAATTTAAAGCACAGTGAAGGTGTGAAAATTGTCAAAAAATTAGCAAAAAGTTCAGATATTTTAGTTGAACCATTTAGACCAGGTAACTAGTTTGTAAGAATCACACCTGGGAAAGATATAATATAAAGCGATCAGTTTATTTTTGCCACGATAAAATAACTGCTAATAACTAAACAATTTTCAATAGCAGTTATGTTTTTTAATTTCCAACATTAAATAATATATATGAATAATAAAAGAAGTATAGTTTGTAAAGGGAATATTGTTTAAAGTATTTACATGGTTTACTGTTAGACTTATATTTACAAATTGACTGGTAACAATGTTGTTTGTTCTGATGCTGCCTATAAATTAAAAGATGTATAGCTTAAACAAATTCTTGTTAAACCTACACAATAAACTGCATACTATTTATGTGTGTTTTGTTCTGAAAATAATTTGTACCAACCTCATGTGTAATGTTAATTTTTATTACAAAAGGTGTGATGGAAAAGTTGGGATTAGGGCCAAGTGTTCTTATGGCAGAAAATCCAATGTTGATTTATTCCAGACTAAATGGTTATGGTTCAAATGGATATTATTCTAAGCGTGCTGGTCATGACATAAATTATTTAGCAATTTCTGGTAAGTTTAATTACTTTATAAATATTACCACATATTAGGATTTAAGTATTTACTAATGAGACTGTTGTTAAAATAGTTAATATTTGTACAAGTCGATTGGTTAACTTGACTTGACAATATTTCAAAATCCAATTGTACGTTTTTTTTTTATTTTGTCTTCTTTATCTAGTAAGATAAGTTAACATAAATTTAATTTAATTAGTGGTAATACAATTAATTTTACGAGGGAGATAGGATTGCAAATGAATGATTGTAAAATTAAGACCACTACAAAAATCTACAGAGAGAAAAAATGTAAAAGATTGTCGAAAACAAGTTGGATCATAGTTCACCAATCGCCTGGTACAGCATTATCTGAGTAATAATGTCCAAGATTATAATTGTTTAAATATTGAGACTTTTAGGTTTGTTGTCACTGTATGGCGGTAAAAACCCAAAGCCTATACCACCGGTAAATTTCTCTGAATTTACTGGAGGTAGCATATTATGTGTATTGGGCATTCTTATGGCAGTCATAGCACGCCCAAATATTAAAAAGGGTCAAATAGTCGATGCAAATGTTACCGAAGGAATTGCGTATGCCGGCAGCTGGTTCATGCGTTCTCAAGACACATTACTTTGGGGTAGACCAAAAGGACATAATTTGTAAGTAAATGTTATTTATTTATTATTGTTTAATCGAGAAAAATATATTCTAATATAAAACCGTTGCAGTTTAGATGGCGGAATGCACTTTTACGATACATATGAAACGAAAGATGGAAAATGGATGGCCGTAGGAGCAATAGAACCTCAATTTTATCAAGAACTATTACAAGGATTAGGACTTGACCCTGACGATATGGCACAATTAGATGAAGAAGAAAATGAAAAGAACAGAGAGATTTTTTCGAAAGTATTCAAAGAAAAAACTCAAGGGGAATGGTGTAAAGTATGTCATTTTTGTTGAACATTTATTAAGCGTGAATATTGGTTTTCTATCAAATGGTTTTTAAAAAAAAAATTATTATTGTGTTTCTAAAAGCTATAGAGATTTTTCAGTTAAAAATCATTTAGCGGAAAAAATCGCTGGTTTTATTGTTTTTTACCGTTTGTTTAAAATATTTTGTTTGGGGCTATAGGGTTTTCAGGGACTAGGGCAATACAATATTGAATTTTAATTTATTTTTTAAAATTAAAAATGCAGTATCAAAATTGAAACCGTGGAAGTATTTTTTTTTTTTTGTGAACTGTTTTTTTGGTTTCTTTTAAAGCATATTTGAAAATTCTTTTTTTTTCCAGATATTTGACTCAAAAGACGCTTGCGTGACTCCAGTTTTAAACTTCAAAGAAGTGGCCCAACATCCACACAATAAGAGTAGAAATTCGTTTATAGAAAAAAATAACATTGTTATTCCAAAACCTGCTCCAAAATTGAATGAAACTCCTGGAATTTCAAGTGCACATAATTCGATTGTTTCTTGCGGTCAGCATACAAGTGAAATACTAATGAGCATTGGATACTCTGTAGATAAAATTAAAGAACTGAAAATTAATAAAATTGTTTATCAAGATCCTAAATCTAAAATTTAATTATTTTTGTATTCTTTATAATATGGTGTCAGTAGTGTAATTATAAAGGTATAGGTTGTATGTGTCCACCTCCCGCTTTTCTTTTAATGCATATGTTCTCATAACAAAATTTGTATACTCTATCTGCAGATACACAATTTTCATTTCTGACTACACACATACATAGATGGGTAAATTCAGTGTATACTCTAAAACTACTGGACTATACCACTGTATAATATATATATATATAAGTTGTTGTTATTGTTATTATTGATAAAAATCAGCTTTGGATACTTAAGGATGTCTAATCAAATACTTAAGACATATAATATGATTTCATTCACAATTAACATTATTTTATCATAAAGATAAATCATTTTTTATACATAATAACTGATTTACATATTTTTTTAATAAAGACATTTTTGACTGTAAAGCCACCTTATATATTTACATTCATTTCCAATGTAATCATTATCTTCAGGTACAAACTTTTCATCAGTTGTACTTCTATAGTCTTTAAGTTCATCTTTATTTGACCAAACACCTATACATAACAGAAAACTTTATAAGTTTTGATTATAATTTAATTAATTATTAAAAATCAATGTCTAACAGTCTACAGTACTATGTAATATACATACATTTTAAACAAAATATTCAAGCTAGAGACAATAAATATATTTTATTTAAATGGATCATAATATCTAATACAACTGGTAGAACCAGTGTTGTAAAAAATATTTTTTTTAAGTATTTAAGTACGTATTTATATAATTGCATATAAAAATAAATTTTTTTAAATACTAAATGAAAAAAAAATTAATATTTTGTATTGGCTTTAGGTAATTTTGAACTAAGTATAAAGAATTTGAAAATTGTATTTAATACCATCGAATTTGCATGAATCCTTTTATTCAAATATTTTGCAACATTAAATGTAATACATTATTGATGGGCTTACCTGAAGATAAACCTGCCATAAAAGCAACACCCAAACAAGATATTTCAGTTTTATTATTATTTTTCATTCTTATAACAGTAGTAGATGTAGCATTAGATATTGCTTGACATATGTAATCGTTCTGCGACACGCCGCCATCAACCCTATGGCAAATAAAAAAAAAAAATGCCTAATAGTTGATAAATTAACAGATAAAAAATAGAAATAACACCACTTTATAAATTACCACAAGGTGTTTAGTTTTAGTCCAGGTATTTCTTTATGTAGCTTATCTAATCGTTTCTTAATCCTAAATGCAAATGATTCTAAAATAGATTTTACCATATCCGCTTTTGTCGTATTAGATGTCAAATTGATAAAACTATAGTTTCTCCCTCTATTTTTGGACGACTGAAACAAATTGTTTTTTAATCATTTCGATTTTATATTAATACTTATATTAGAGCTTGTGACCAATATGTCGACCTACTTCACTATCTGGTAACACAAATAAAACGTCATTGGCAAATGACTCTTTTTTTTCATGTAGTAGTAACTCATTTAACTCTCTCAAATTGCTGTAACAGCCTAAGTAAAAAAAAAAAATATATATATATACATAATAATTTCTTATATATAATTGCACGTTTCACAGAAATCTCACCAATTGATTTTCCTAATGTAATCAATGGTCCACTATTGTGATCAAGTGCTTCCAGTGTGAAACAAACTTCATCATTGAACATCCAACCCACCAATGGAAAATATCCTAATGACAATGTTAAAGGTATTACTTTTGTTCGTAGTAAATAACTATTTTTACTAATATTGTTATAGTGCTAACCTAAACATATGTCTGGCACTGAACCGCAGTTAATGTCTAAAAACATACCGGTGCCCATAGTGACTTTAGCTGTATGTTTTGAGAAACTGCCAGTACCAAATAACGAAGATGATTGGTCGGCCATCTGAAATATAAAAAGAACAACTTGAAATGGAAATTTCATGTCTCTAAATACTTTATCATTTATGCTTACCGAACAGGTAATGGGAATATTGGAGATTTGGACAGCACCACTATAATGTTTAGATAAATTTGAATCACAAATTGTAGGAAGAAAGTTATTAGAAAAACCGAAAAATTGGAATACAATTTTCGGTAGCCACGTCATGGTAAATACATTGAACAATCCGGTTGAACTGGCACACGACAAATCGGTCACATGAAGTTCACCTTTACTTGCTCTATACAAAAGCCACGTATCTAACGTACCAAATTGGACTTCATTTTTGTTCACATCTTTTCTGAAGTCAATGTTATTTTCCAAAAGCCAAATCAGTTTTGGTAAAATCTATATGTTCACATAAAAAAAAAATTATTTTTTTAAATAAACTAAACAATATCAATAACAATTTAACCAAACGGTAGGAACAATCTTTGTACTTGAGCATTGGTAAACGAAAATGATTTTGCAAGTTTGATTTGTTTTGATGAGCACATAAGACTTAGTATTCTTGAAACAAATTTAACAGCCTAATAACAATTTATTTTATTATTTTATTTAAACTTGCATATTTTATAAGCCATCAACCAAAAATATATATGTACTTTAAGAAATAATGATTTGTTAAATCTTTCGATAATCAAACTCGATCGTGTATCTCTCCAAGTAATGAAATTGTGGTAATGTTTTCCAGTAGTTTTATTCCAGGTTATGAAAGTATTTCGTTGTGAGGACAAACCCAAATTCTTTACCATACAAGGTTTTAGGCCTGCATCTATATTTTATTAAAACCATGTTTAAGATTAGGTATTTTTTAATTGTTAATATTTCACTTATTATATATTTTTTTATGAAGTTTAAAATGATAGCAGCGATGAATGGTAATACATGTTCAAATTTAAAAAGAAACTAGCAAACAAATTTCCAGCTATATAGTAATTTATACATATACATCATAATACAGTTTAATATAATCAAATAGACAAATTCAAATTAAATTAGCTTAAGAAACCTTTTAATGCATTCTGTAGTGATTGTTTTATACTGTTTGTTAATTCTTCAGGATCAATTTCTTCCCATCCATGATGAGGTTTTAATACATTAATCTAAACATAAATACATCAAATAAAGTAAATAAACATCTTTAATCATAATAGCAATAGCATTTATGTGACTTTTATAAGCATTTAAAGATTTATATATATATATATATATATATATATGTATTTTTTTTTTTTTTAAGAGGAAGATCTCTATTATCAGCATTAAACTTTTATTTTAAAAATCAAAATTATGTATCGTGTAATAAGTTTGAATACAAATATAAAAAAATAATTAAAAAGTACCCGTTTTTTTTTTTTGGAAATTTAATAAAAATTCAAACTTTGCACATAAGACAGAAAAAAATCGACTTTAATATAAAAAAAAAATTAATATAACATTGATTATATATAATTATTTATAATCAATGCTGTAACTATAATCATAAAGTCATTTTTCACCACCACAATGGCTGTAACTCATGTAAGAACAAAATTAGATAACACAAATAAAGCTAAAAATAAGTTATATTATATACTTTTAGAAATGATGATCCAACAACATGAAATTTTGATGAAAATATTTGGCATTTCAAGTTGGTGGTCCCAACATCAATCGCAGCAACATATTCCATACTGCTTGATGAGTTCATTTGTAATAAATCGTAAACCTAAAAAAAAAGATTTTTAATTGATTTGTATATGAAATTAATTCATTGCACAATATGGATGAAAGTGATATTTTGAGAAAATTATCCATCACTTAATACTAAATACCAGTTAATAGTTATCATTATAACGTCTAAAATAATTACACAACATGTATATAATAGCAATGAATGGTTACAAAAAAATCATTAGAAAATAGAATAAGAATTATTATCAATAAAATCCATGATTGTAAACTTGATTATGTCATTATTAATTAGTTACAAATTAATTATAAAATAAATTAAATGTGTTTTATTGCTATTTTTATTTTAAACTGTATTAAATATCAAATATTCTGATAATAAATATAATATTATATTAACTTTAAAAATATAAATATTTAAAAACTATATAATAAGTAATGCAAATATAGTTTTAAAAGAGAGGGGAATGTAAAGCCATTGGTTTATTATCTAGCTTCTACTAATTAATCAACATTTAAACTAATGACCTGACTGCTTAAACTATTATAATATTTAAAAAAATCAACATTGTACAGATAAAATTAGTAAATACTGCATGTAATTAACACTGTTTATTATATCAAATAAGAATAAATAATTTAATTTAATTATTAATGGCATTTCAATTTTAATAATAACATTCTTAGATTTAACAGCAAAAATAAAATAAAATTTGTTCAGTTGTCTTTTGTAAATACAAATTTAAATGCATTAAATTATTGAATTGTAATTTTTTACTTGTGATTAAATAATATTTTTAGAAAAAAAATGTGCAAGAATTATATAAAAAATTATAACACTTACATTTTTAAAAGATACATTTTTTCCTCTAATTGGTACTTTTTTCTTTTATTTCAAATCTTTTAGAATTCATAGTTGATATCAAACCCCAAAATATGATTTGAGCAATGTATCGGAAACTATGAACTACAACAAAATTAGCATGAATAATTAATTAAACTACTTCAAGATTATGAAATAATCAAATATTAGAGTTTAAGTATTGAAAACAAATGTTAGATTCTCTAGTTAATAATTTATATAATCATATTATTTAACAAGTAAATTTCGTAGGGCTAGGCGATAATTTATTTCACTCCTGATGACGTAAAATGTAATTAACTAGAAAAAACAAGAAGAAAGATAAATAGTTAACTATATTAACATTTCCATTAGATTAATAAGCACATAATTATTTTATACATCAATTACTTTTTCCAATTAACAAGCTTATTTCTCCATTAATTCAGATAGTCACTAATTTAATATTAAGGGAGCTGTTGACTATTTTTATAAGTGCCCATGCATGCAAAAGATGAAGCCATCGGGATAACAACCGCCAACCATTAAAACATTAAATCTGTTCTATAATCATTTACTACGCAATTTGCTCGAGATTTACAATGCATAAACTACATGATTACTATGTATTTTGAACATTTAAAATGAGTGAAAACATAACGCCTCGTTATTTTTGAATTTGGTAGACATATTTCATAGTGATATCTTGTAGCTTAAATGTGAAGTTAAGAGGGTATTTTTTTTTTTTAATTCAATTACCAAGTACGATGTTCATTTATTAGATTATTTCTCCAGACAACCATGACGTATGAGTTCATATTTCATAATAATCGCCTTATTTAAAACAATACGTTTTCAACAAAAGTAATTTATTCGTCTGCGACTATGTTCGTTTAATGTGACCCCTAGTTAATGAACGACAAACTACTACGAAGAGCGATTGAAATAACAAACAAAAAATACCTAACGGCTAACTGTCGAGAAAAAATAAATAATATTATGTAAATTATACGTTTTCGATTGGATCCACGATTATTCTACAATTATAATTTATAATATAAGATGCATGTATCTCAAATAGCCATTGGAACCGAGTTAAGTGCCAATCGGCAATCACTATAATGCCACTATATGCCACTGATAATGATTTCGGCTCATAAATATTATTATTGTTTTCAATTGCAGATAATAGGAAAAGCTGGGATTTCGGTAATCAATTATTCGCAGTGCGTACAACGTGGTGCGGTGGCCATTATCACTTCACTTGTGTACGGCAGCCTGGGTTTCTGCAATCTAATTTTTTTTATTTTCTTCTATTTGTAAATTTGGTCTTTTTAAATTGCGAATCTCTCGTCGCAATACACGTTAATTTCAATCGATTCGTGGTTGTCCGTTGTATTTTTTTTTTTGACCCGTCGCGGTGCTGATAAACATCTCGCCGAGAACCTGCTGTACAGTAAGTAGACGCTTATTCAAATATATCGGAGGTCCCGAATGCTGTTGTCTTACCGTTGATATTATTTTGAAGATTTTAGGCGATGAACAAAGACATTAACAGAAGAATACTAGCGATACAAGCTAAAAAGAAACGGCGCAAATTACCAAAGAAGCCACACGAAGACCGGAAAGTGGTGCCTCCAGCGCCGGCTAAGGTAGCCGAAAAGCCCAAAGCCCATCAGAAGCGTGACAGTGACTCGTCGTCCAACGAATCCGATGAAGGCACTGATGAGATGTACGCATCCGATGAAGAGGAACAAGAAGAATCCAGCGATTACTGCAAGGGCGGTTATCATCCCGTACAAATAGGAGACGTTTTTTTAAATAGGTAAGTCTGGTATTGCAGATGTACAATTATACTCATAATAAGTTCTGTATAAGTTATTTAATTTGAAATAAAAAAAAAATTACCTGTGTTGGATCTGTCCTCCTAATCCCTCCAGTCAATTCCAGAACCCATTTTATATTAGTAATACTTAGGTCACAACTTGGTGTACGGATTTAGTTACCCTAGAGCTAAATAATAACAAACAGGATCAGATTTAAAAAAAAAATGATATTGAACTTTTAAACATAATATATTTTTACTCTACAGTTGCAGTTAGAGAAATAATATATTAAATCAAGCATATAAGTTGATAGAATCTTATGATGTTGTCTGTTACTTCATAAAAGTTAAAATATGACTAATATACAATTAACAATTTATACAATGTGCTTGCAATAAACAGCACATGACATATTATAAAAAAGTATCCCTCAAATTACAGGTACAATCAATCTCTACAATGAACTTGTTATTTATAACATCTTGAAGTTCTAAGCCAATTAAATTATAAGTTTGATGTCAGTTTTTTAATTAGCAAATTGCCTTTATTTCTAGAACCCTAAGTATGCCAATGGTTCTTTCATTATTTACATTTTAAAACCATTTTATGATAATTTTAATTGTGTCATTAATTAACATCAAATTATCTAAATTGTTTGAGAAATAATTATAATGATTTGGAAATAGATAATAATATAGATTTATGTTTGTTTACATGTATTGTTTACATAATAATACTTGTATTTTTTTTAAATTTTAGGTATCATGTGTTAAGAAAACTTGGTTGGGGTCACTTTTCAACAGTTTGGCTTTGTTGGGATTTCACAGACAAACGTTATGTTGCTCTCAAAGTTGTAAAAAGTGCATCACACTTCACCGAAACTGCATTAGATGAAATAAAACTTTTAAAAAGTGTCCGTGATTCTGATACCAATGACAAAAAGCGAGAACGTGTTGTCATGTTGTTGAATGATTTTAAAATCAGTGGTGTTAACGGAATCCATGTATGCATGGTTTTCGAAGTACTTGGTCATAACTTATTAAAGTTAATTATAAAAAGCGATTATTCGGGTATACCGTTACAAAACGTTAAAAGTATTATCAAACAAGTATTAGAAGGTTTAGACTATTTACATACAAAATGCAACATCATTCACACAGATATTAAACCAGAAAATGTACTGTTGTGCGTTGATGAGAAATATATTAAAAATTTAGCAAAAGAAGCAACCGAAATTCATCAAACTGGACAAAAGTTGCCAGTATCATTTAGTAGTACAGCCCCTAAGATTGCATTCAACAAGCCAAATTTGACTAAAAATCAGAAGAAGAAAATGAAAAGGAAAAATAAACGTCAGTCCGAGCTATTAAAAGTTCAAATGCAACAGTTAGAAGAACTGGAAAACAAACAAGAAGAAGAATGTGATGCTGAAGTTAATAAAGGTATGTCAACATTTTATTATTTTTTTTAATATTATTGTTACCTGATCATATTTGAATATTTTTACCAACTGAGTGTATCAAAAATTATGATGATGTATAACATCATAATGCTTAAAAGAAAAAGAAATTGTAGTGTATTTAAATAAAAGAAGAGTGAATTGCTTATTAATATTATCTTCTAAAAATATTCAAATTTTCAAAGCTGAACAAGCCGTTTGGATTTCAATAAATACCATCGAAACATGTATGATTATACTTATTAAACAAACAATTTGAGTGAAATTACCAACAATTTAGGATAAAATCTAAACTTTCATTGGTTTTTTTAAAGACAATTGTGTAAATATATTATGTTTTTTTAATTTCCAAATTATTTTTCAGATCTTGAACTGGCTTTTTTAAAACTGGCATGTTCAGCATTAGGTTAGTAAATTGTATCAATAATGAATAATAAAAAAAATATTTTATAAGGTGTGTAAAATATAGTCATGAATAATAATACAATATTATATAAGTGTATAATTAGAAATAATAATGAAAGGGCATGGAATATTGAGACAAAACTGTATAAGATAAGGGTATGGGTAAAAATAAGATGCCTATTGCAAAGTGGACAATGCATACATAAAAAGTCATTTTCTATGTATCTAAGGTACATTACCTTTATGAAATATTTATATAAAAATATGTAATTATACGTAAAATTACATCACATTGAATATACATTCAATTTGTAGAGTGTTAATAAAAAAAATAGAGCAATTTTTTTTTTTTATGAAAAATATTTATATGCGAATAAAATTATTTGTAACTCAATAAATAATAGGTTAATCTGTGATTGCATTACATTTTATAAAAAAAAAGTATCATTTGAGCTACCTAATTTTAAATTTATTTTATTTTCATGAATAACAAATATATATATATTTTTTATTTATGAAAAATTGTTTGATGACTTAATATTCTAAATAAAAAATTAACTTCTTTATCTTAAACAAAAAAATTAATATTATCGAAAAAATTAAAATGCTACCTCATGATCTATTGATCTTGGGTTTCATTTCAACCCGCCTTTATACTTATTATTTACACTGTGAAGAAAGTTATTTAAATTAATGAGACATTTAAACTTAAATTTATAATAGGTAACGAATAAAAAAATGTATTCGTCAATAATAAATAAATTGATTAATTGAATCATAAATAACGATACTTATATATTTTTTCATACATAAAATATATAAATGATCGAATAAAAAATAATTATTTATTTATCGCTTCATCTAGATTAAAGTTATTCAAATAATGCCCTACTTTATTATTTGTAGGTCATTCTAATTTTGGTAATAGGATGTTAGTTAGGATTAATAATAATAACTTAAGTGTATATTTGTATGGTTAATTTTATTGAGAATTGTCTAATAGTCATTCTTTGTTTATAAAATGTTTAATTGAAAAATTGATTGTGTGCCAATTTCTAAATGATAAGTTATGGAGAGTTATTTTTAATGTTTACATAATGTGTGTATTGTAGTTTTAATGGCAATCAAATAATGATGTAATAAAAATTCTATACTGCAGTAAGAATATAGGTCATTGAGTTTTATTAAAAAATGTGTTTTTTGTTTACAGTTGAAGACAAATCTGAACCAGATCCAGTAGATACCAATAACAGCGAATCTATATCTAACGGTTACGTTAGTGATGGTACTAACACGAATGCAAATACCTCGCCGATACCTGATAATAATTTAGAAAACACAGAGTGTGCCGATGCAAGTATCGATGAAACAAGTACTGTCCAAGAAAACGGAGCTGGTGAATTCAGTAAAACCAACAGCAAGCCGCTTTCGAAAAAAAGATCATTCAGAAGCAAATCCAGAGATGGCCCCGCAGTAGACCCTGCATTCAATGTGTGTGATATAAATGTTAAAGTTGCTGACCTCGGCAATGCTTGTTGGATAGACCGACATTTTACTGAAGACATTCAAACCAGACAATACAGGTCACTAGAAGTGCTGATCGGAGCGGGCTACGGTACATCATCAGATATATGGAGTGTAGCATGCATGGCATTTGAACTAGCTACTGGCGATTATTTATTCGAACCGCATTCGGGTGAAGCTTATACCAGAGACGAGGATCACATAGCTCATATAATAGAACTGTTGGGTAAGATACCCAAAAAAGTGATCGATGAGGGAAAACAGTCGCCACAGTTTTTCAATAAACGCGGAGAATTACGGAATATAAGCAGCTTAAAACCATGGTTGTTGTACGATGTTTTGAGGGAGAAATACAAATGGCCGCAAGAAAACGCGAGAGCTTTCACCGATTTCTTGTTGCCAATGTTAGAATTTGATCAAAACGCTAGGGCAACGGCTGCTCAATGTTTACAGCACGCGTGGCTGAAATGTTGATAATTTGTTCTGGTAACATTTTTTTTTTACTGGGCAAGAATAAAAAATAAAAATTGTATTCTGCAACAGAACTTTTTTTTTGTTTGTATTATTTAATAAAGTCACAGTAAACACACAATTCTGTACGATGTAAATAATTAATAATTTTATATTTTAAAGGATAAGATATAATTAGTCATGTCAAAATATTATATGCTACAAATGTTTAGCTATACAACGCGTACACATGGATTTTTATTTTAAAACAAACTTTATCACGTTTTTTTTTTAAACAATCAAGTAAATCTAATAGTTTTTTAAAAACATAATTTTGAAGGATATCTATATACTATATACTTTAACAATGAAATTATTATTATTGGATATAGTTTTAAAAACAAAATAAATTCACAACAAAAAAAATGGACATTTTATATAATATATAATTTACAACATAATATATAAATATAAATATAAGATATTAATTTATGTGTAGATAATACAAATTGATTGTAATACAACTGCAGCGTACTTATTATGTTTAATCATTTTACACGTCTCAAGTTTAATTTATATCCAAACTTAATTTATTTTTATGTAAGTAGTTTGTGAAAGGGTATTTTTTACATTTTGTTCCTACTCGCTGCAATTAGTCAAAATGAAATAGATCTACTTAATTCACATAACATATTGTTTTGAGTTGTAATACCAATGTTTACTTTAACATTTAGGTAAAATAATAATGATGAAAAAAAGACACTCTAATTTACATATGCCTATTCTAGTTTACATGTTGCTCAGTGTTATTTTAATTCCAAACTACTTAGTATTTATGCACCTTACTAAACTGACATGAAAACTGTTGAATAATGACCGCCATATTCAAATTTAAATGATTTTAGTTTTAAAAGTAAGTGTATTAAATAAATATGATTTTATTTATTTCAAACTGATAATTATTAAGGAAACGCAACTATAAAAATAGCTATAGGTTTTTTAAAACTATAACATTGTATGATCTGAAACACATATTAACTAATTGTTATGAGTGATGAATAAGCTTAGACTGTGTATATATCTAATTAATGTCACATAAAGTTAGTAAAATGTTTAATTGAAATATATATTTATACACATAAGCGTATGTATACCTATCTTTGTTAACTGATGTTGGTCCATTATGTACAATTTTTTAGAATAATTATATTCTCTTTGTAGTTCTTTTTATCAGCTAAACTTAAAAATTTAGCATAATTCAAAAAAACTAAAATTATTATAAAATAAACTAGAAATTGGAGCCCGGATAAAGTTCTGGACTTAAAACTTTAAAAAAAAAGTAAAATCAAATATATTTTTCAGAATAAGCAATAGTCTTACAAAAAAAAGAAAACTATGTCTGTTTGTGTTTCTCAAAATAAATATATATATTTGTACCAATATTTATCTGACCCTTGCTTTTAGGTACCTAATCTGATAAGAATGGTCATTATTCTAATTATCATCTTAAGGTAATGTACAATAAAACAAAACATTCAAGTCTGTGAAACCCAAATAATTTTAATGATGGCTATACTATTTTATGATCATAGACCTAATTAATATTAGAAGCCATATTGAATGTTTATACCGGCCGTTAGTGTTATGAGGATGTACAGCCATCACAAAAAAAACATTTTTTGAAACAACATCTTTATAAATTATTAATTTCAGTTTATTATATTTTAAATGAATGTTATTATCAAAAGTCACAAATTGGTAGGGTTCTAGTTCTTCAATTTTAAGAATTAAAGTGAGCAAGTTGTATATGTTTAAAAAATTATAAATGGTAGTAGGGTTGCGAGCGAAATATTTTTGGTTTCTTATTTAATAGTACATAACTGTCCTAAAACCCTGGGTACGCCACTGTATATGTGTGTGTGATTTTCCTGCATATCGTATAATAATATGATACCTATACTTTTTTCGTACGAAACAAATTAGCAATGAAATCAATTTTCATTATCAAAAACAGTAGTGTAGTATAGATACAAATTATTGTCTATACACATACACTACTGTTCAGTGTCCATAGACCATAGTATATACACGAATGATCTATGTGAATTATAATATACTTCCTATCATTTAACAAACACTCATCACTATCAGCGTCTCGAGTCTGAAGTGTACGGCGTGATCCTTAACTGTGGACCATTCAAAGTAATCAAAATACCGCCAACGGATGAAATTGAACATTGCCTCTCGACTAGGTACTAAATTTGATTGAAAATTTATTTCATTGCTAATTTGTTTCGTAAAGAAAGAACTATATGATATTATAATATTATGGTACATAGTTATGCAGGAAAATGCATACATTTTGAAATAATGCTAGCCATTAATTATTGTTCGTGAAAAAACCTTTTTTTTTTTTTAATTTTAGCAACAATACATTCAAAGGAGTGTTTACTGGAAGATTGCATTATAACATGTACCTTTCTAAACTTTAAAATGTTATCGTTATATTTCAACATAATTAGAAAATCATTAAAGCTGTAGTTCGGGTGACCTATTCTGGCGAAACACCCTGTATAATAAGTTATCCGAAATAATTGCCTACTATCATTCTCCATTATGCGTCTGTTTAAATTGCGCCTCGATCAATAATAATTTTTTATGAAATAGTAAATTGACTGTTCGATTGAATGCTTACACAGTGTAGTGTAGAAGACAACTCTCAGTTTTACAGTCCAGGCATTCGATACTGATAGTCCGCTATACATGTAAGTGCAATAAAAAGTAAGTACAATTATTTGTGATGATCTGCGTCGGTGTATTTTAGAATTTTTTATGAAATAATGTCATTTATGTCTACTAATTATTTTTTATTTAACTGTTAAGTACGACAAAACTTAAATATATAACTCATGGGCGTTTATACGTTGCTTTTATTTCGGACAAAGATATCTTAGGCGTCGCCGTGTCGGTATGTTTTTATTGGTAAACTTTGTATTCTTTTTGTAGAAAACAATGGTAAATCCAAAAAAAATAGCGATTGTTGGAGCGGGTATTGCGGGAATCAATACAGCTTTAGAACTTCAAAGATTGTATCCTGACTTCGAATTGACCATCATCGCCGATAAGTTTAACAGCGAGACGCTAAGCGACGGAGCTGCTGGCTTATTTCGACCTGAAACTTACTGTTTCGGTCCAAGTTTTGACATTTCTCAGTATATAATATTTACATACTATAATTATAATGAAATATATATTTTCGATTTAAAAAAAAATGCATGCCCGTGTTTACTCGTCGTAAGATTAATAAGTGGATGCCCCACCACCTAATTATTAAGTAGTAAAGTATATGGGCAATTTTTAATGATACTTGAAAATACCCAATCATATTATAATAAAATGTTAAAATTAAATACCATATTGATAATTAGTACTTGTTATCAAATGTTTCAACACAGTCGTTTAACTATTGTTGTACAAAAACACGTCACGGGAGATGCTCATTTCTAAAGAGTAATTTTTAAAAATCTTTTAGTAAAACAATTTTAACCAAAATGACAAAATTTTGAAAATGTCTTATTACTCGGTTTTCAATAACGTAATCAAAAATCGCCTGTACAGAAATCTGTATTAAGTCTCGATCTTATATTGGTATAAATATATTTTTGCAGTTCTTCAGAAAAGTGCATCTTCTGAAACACATGTTAACATGCGTACATCAATAAAAAGTGGTGTACGCCCTCTTAAATAGCCGTTGTGTATTTTAAAACATTATATTTTTATACTATTATTAAGTAATAATTTATTTTATTATCGTTGTTTTAGGGAATGGATAAATGATGCTTATAACTTTTATAAGAATTTGTTGAACACCGAACCGTGTGGCATTAACGAAATATCGGGTTACACATTTTCAAAGAAAAAAGAGTTTACTGAAGTAATTAAAACACAATTGTTGATAACAGAGGCACATTTAGGTTATACGATAAAATTTCATAATATGCTACTTGTACTACTACTTACTGATGACGTATAAAAAGTTAAAGTTCAAATAATAATTTGATGAGTAATTGTAGAAGCATATCCCACTGATTAAAATACCGCTACGCCACGCCATTTGTTTACATAAAATAATAAACGATTAGCTCGAAAAAATATAATATATCTTATAAAAAAACGTATTAACAGGGTGGTCATCGTATTTTTTTTTTAGAACCATTATTTAAAAAAATGTTTGCCAACGTACAGAGACGCTACTGACGAGGAACTCTTGCAACATTCGACAGAAAATTCTATCAAAGAATACGGGTCATTTTGTACGTCAATAGTTATAGAATGTAAACGGTTTTTACCTTGGGCACTTAAAAAGTAATATATTATATTATTGTAAATAATTACTGTATACGGTCGAAATTTAACTGTCTATTGAAAATACAGATTTTCATTTTAGAATCACCAACAACGGCGGCAATGTTATCGAGAGGAAAATTCACTCGTTCGATGAGATTTGCGACGATTTCGATTTCATCTTTAATTGCGCCGGATTAGAAGCTGCGCGTTTGTGCGACGACAAGGAGTTGGTGCCTATACGCGGACAAATCTTACGGGTAAAGCGAATAAAAAAAAAAAAATCAAACCTTTATATCACATTTTTGGCGCCACCGTCAATGTTACCGAACTGACGTGATAATGACGTTATTGCCAGGTCAAAGCTCCGTGGGTCGACAAATTCTACTACGACGACTTTGACACTTACATAATTCCGTCCATAGAAGACGGTACTGTGGTGTTGGGCGGATGCAGACATTTCGGAAGCCATGACGTTGCAGCACAGCAACGGGACACGGATACGATTTTGGAAAATTGTATTAGACTAGTGCCTTCACTGAAGGAAGCGTTGAAATCCGAGTACAAAGTATGGGTCGGTCTCAGGCCCTACCGGTCCAGAGTGCGGATCGAGGCGGAAAAAATTAAAAGCGCCGTGGTAGAGTATTTTTAAACGATATACCTACCCCGTTGTAGCCGTCCTCTTTACACCCCTTATGACGACTTTGGTTTTACAGGTCATTCATCATTACGGACACGGTGGATACGGCGTGACTCTGGGACCCGGCACGGCTAAATACGCTGTAAAACTGTTGCTTTCATACTTGTAATACTTGGCTTACCGCTTTGCGGTTTGTCGACTTTACATAATAACAATTTAATCCGGCTATAATAGCTTATTTGGTGTTTAAACTTGGTACGCGATGTACATTTATTATAATAAGTAATAACACTACGTCAATTGATATTTGTATGATAACGTCGAATGACCTCGATTCTGAATATGACCTTAAACTTGACATTTATTGGTTTTTTTTTTTTCTGTACGGTTATTCAGTAATGGCATACAATACAACAATTAGATATCGCAAAAGGGCGATAGCAGACACTTTGAAGTGTAGTATAATATATGTTGTTTATTATGGATGTACCAACCTTCAATATTATGTGATTCTCTATACGATTTCCCATTAGCTGGTTTAACAACCGAGGACCTAACCCTAACCTAATTACTACACTTAATGGAGACGCAGAAACCAAACAGCCATATAAAAGCGCAAGAAATTGAACTGGCTACTGTTTGCTTTTATGTAGATCCACGAATGTTATTTTTCGTACATCAAAGATGTTGATTTTTTATTTTTTATTTGTAAGTTATTCACAATAAGCTGTGTGGGTAGTTAATAAGCGGACAGTTGGCTAATTCTATTTGAATAAAGTATAAATGTATTGGAGGTAACCGTTTTGGTTTATTTCTAGTAGTTTCAAGACAATGAGTACCTATAGGTAATATGCGTGATGTACTGTGATAAATATTTTTGTGCCAGAGGCCTAGTATATTAGGTAAGGGTTAAAGGTTTGTGGGATAATATAAGTATTTACAAAAGTAGGTGAAATAATTGAGAAGGATAAATAATGAAATAGTTAAGACTACTGATTATAGCAGTGCGACGTAATTACTGCTCAACTCGATTTCAGATATTTTTATTAAGATCTTCAATCGATTAAAAAAACCAAGTATGTATAAAGTACACCAATTAGCCAACATTAAAAATGCCCACGTGGAAATAACCTATGACTCAGCGCAGTTACAATTTACAAACGGCAAACTATCGTAATGATAATACAAATATTAATTAAATTATTAATAATTATTAACGATAACGAAATTTATGAATAATTATTTAAAAGCAGTTTCAGGCAAAATCAAATACATTAACGTTGCAATCACGAGTGCGTCACGTGTAAACAAATATTTTGCAAGTTACAATTACCAACAAATAATTTAATATCAAATATATTTATCTATATAAAGTAATCAAGACATACAACAGAAAACTATATAATAGGAAAGTAATTATGAATATTATGTATTCATTAATGTTCTTAACTATAAAAGTGAAAGAAGTCTAAAGCAGCTATTCAAAAACTTATTTATTACTATCATTTTTTAAAGTATTTCAGTTGAAAAAACCAATACCTTCTCGCTTTGCATCGAAGCTAAAATATTTATATATACACCTATATAAATAGATAGTGCATTAAGGTTAAAACATATTCTATAAATATGTTTTAACAGCCTAAAAAGACTATTTTAAATAATTTCTGTCAATTACAAAATACAAATTATTCTAATTTGTATTTGACAAATATTTAAATTGAATGCTTTCAGCTACCTAACGAATTAAAAGCTAGTTGAAAGAGACGATCGTTTTGTTAAAATTATTTTTTACATCAAGTAATTTTAAGAATACTTGTAAACATAAAAAATATCTTATAATATGGATATTACTAGGTATCTGCGCTGTTTACATTAAAAAAACACTATTTCACGCATCACTGCCCATGCTGTTAAAAACTATGGCAACAAACAATAATGTAGATGTGTATACTATGAAAAATCATAATAGCGTATATTAAATAGAGTTGAACGTTTCGTAAAAATCAATGTTATAGTGATTGAAAATAAAATTAGTTATGCCAATTGTAGTGAAAAAATTTACTTGGTGGCAAACCGAGAGTAAAGTGTTAGTAAAAGTCGAAATACCTTTTGTTTCTCAAAAGAATGCCACTGTGTTGACGTCAAGTAAACTGCTTAAAGTAAGTACATACTTTTTTGAAATAGGTTCACGGATAGCGTAACATATGCATACGAATGATTTATTATTTTGTTTTATTAAAGATTAGTCATTTGCCACATATTTTTGAAATATTGCTTTGGGATGAGATTAATGAAGACCAAAGTAAATGCACGTTTAGTAACGACCATGTATTGTTTGAGTTGGAAAAAACCAGTAATAGGCATTGGGAGAGCTTAGAGTTGCAAAAGCCGAAAGATGAATTAAAAATAATTAAAAACGATATCTTAAACGAAATTGCTGAACAACACCGAAAGAAAATTGAAGAAAAAAAAGGTATTAGATCAATAAATATTTGTTTTTTTATTAATAAATTACTATTTATTTTTATTCGGTGTGATTGACAAAATTGCCTAGTTATTTTTATTGTATATTTTAAAATTAACTTAAAGATGATACTGCATACTTTGATTAAATTGAATCGTTTATTTGAGAAAAGGCACAGTAATTTTATTTTTGAATTCCAGCTTATATTTAAAGAAAAACTCAATATTCGTAATAAACCATTTATATTTCTGTATTTTAAATATTGACTTATGAACCAATAATTACTATTCTAATATTCTATACTCTATATTGATATTTTGTACTTGATCTACTAAACAAGTCTATGGGGTTTAAGTTGATTAAAAAACTCGGACGTCAGGATTTATAATTATTCATTTAACTTTGGAGTTTTTGTTTTGTTTAATGTAAGCCCTCAAAGCAAAACGAGATCGATTATCTGTACAAGAACAAATAGATCGAGATAATGATGAACACAAACGTATTCAGAGCATCAGAGAAGAAGAAAAAAATAAAGTGTTGGAAGAGTTATATTCATGGAAGTCCAATGAAGTTGTACATAATCAGTGTATGTAGATATGTGTATACATACATTAATACATATTATATCTAAACCATACTATTAGTAATGAATTCAACATTTTCCATTTTAATAAATTAATATGTCATTTGCGTTGTAGGCAATAGAAGCTCGGTTAGTATCAAAGAAATTTTCGACGACACCGAAAGTACTAAATTTATGACAAAGCATGATGTTAAATCCGCAGAAAAAGAACATGTTGTAGAAGTACCAAAGCCTAGAAGTTTTAAAACGGTTGAAGTCAATTTTACGCCTAGACATTTTCCCACGCCCAGCAGAGAATCGACCCAAGCGGAAGAGCAAGAAGTAAATACAAAACACTTGTTACTTATCCTATTGTACCCCAACTCCTATTTGTTTAGTGGCTGAAAAAACAAATGGACGCTCGGAGAGCTGCTGGTTTTGTAGAAGAAGATCTTAGGCCGGAAGAGCACGATCCGGATTGGTGTTTGGCTAAAGGAGAGTGAGTAAAAAATTGAACAACACAATTCGAACGATCGCTCGATAATTCGTGTCCAAACTATAAATCAGCAGTAAACCTGATAGAAACTTGCTCTGATGCTGGAAAATATAGCTAAACATAATTAAATAACGCTGGTTTGCTTAGGATATTTAATTATTGGATAAAAAATGTTTAAAATTAATTTTTGCATTAACACAAAATAGTTAGTAGTATAAATTATATATCATAATCGTGTACTTCACGTTTTTTCAGCACATTCACGACGGAACATAACTACATAGGAGCTATAAGCGCATACTCGCACGGCATAAAGTTAAGTCCGAAAATGGCCGTACTTTACTTAAACCGGTCGAAAGCACACATCCGTGTGAAAAATTACCACAAGGCCATCGAAGATGCTACAACGGTAAGTCGACTGGGTGTATTACAGTACTTATCCGTTTTGTTTTTAAACGATCACGATAAAAAAATATATTACAACGCACAATATAAACTTGTTCTTCGCCTTACTCCATTCATATGAGGTAGCTCCGTTCGTCAATCTCTATCAGTCATGTATTTAACTTCAATACAATCGAAAATATATAGTGTATTTTTCTTTAGGCATTGGAATTAATGGTACCCCGCGTCGATGGAAATTTGCTGTGGAGAGCCGAGGCGTATTTTAATCGGGCCATAGGGTTAATCGAATTGGAAAACGCGCATTTAGCCGTCGACGAACTTAAAGCGGCAATGACGTTGGTGCCGGCACGTTGCGATATTTACGGGCCAGAATTGCAACGTGCCATAAATTTAGCTTCTATACACAAAGAAGCCTGCGACAGGGCTAATAATTCAGGCAACGCTCCGACCATCGTGTATAAATAAAAGTATAGCATTAAACGTGATTTGAATGATTATGCGATAATTGTACATATGGGAATAAATATATACATTCACAGTTAATATTATATTATTATTATAAAAAAACGAGATGGACGTCAATACCGACTAGCGTCGAGTAATATATGTTATATTATAAGTTAATAAATACAGATTACAACTTACTTACAGCCTACAAGTTAAGTCGCCCTACGACAAATTAGAGTTTACTACACACACACACATATATATATATATTATAATTATATATATATATTTGATTTGGCATACAGAAGTCTATAGAAAAACAGCTATAAACTACTCAGGAGACTAACCATGTGATGGTATAAAAGAAAAGTATTGTTTTTCTACCAATTTTCAACATGCGTTAAAGCAAGTAGTCCAAGTACAGTGGTTAGGTTTTTTTATGTACAACAATTTAATATTTATAGCTTTTAATTATTTTAATTTTAAAGAATATTTAACCCTAAAGAGGTTAAAAACAAACAAGTTTATACTACAAAATTATAATTATAATATATTAAACGCGTACAAATAATAAAAATAATAATTTAATGGAAATACATGGAACAAACATTACATAATCTTATTATCAAATAGGTACAATACTCACTTATAATGTAAATTATGTTTTGTTTTCTTACAGTTGTTAGTTAGTAATATTATATAATCATAATGCGTAGGTATCCTACAGTAAATTTGACCCTAACGTCATTAAAGCTTAATGGTTTTATTTACAAATCTGTTTTTTTTTATTTTGTCTATTTTAAATCCATATTTGATTAAATAAATATGGACGACATGACAAAAGCTTGTAACAAAAAAAAAATATCACTATTTCTACTTATACTACCGTTGTGGCACGAAAATTACATAGATTTTATAGAAATAAAAAAAAACTTTCTAGCTACAAAAGTTTAAAAAAAAAAATACATACACTCAATATTATTCCAATACAATCGTTTTTGAGAGTATTGGAAACAAAAAAAAAAACAAAATATTTATACGCCTTTCAGTCTTCTCAATCTTGTCGAGTACGATATCGTTCAAAGCAAACTACTTAAATAATTCGGTGCAAACATATTATAAGTAAGTATACATGTACATGTCTTGCGTTTAATAAATAATTACCGAAAAACGAAATTGGCTGGCGTAAATATTCAAAAATCATTCTGCTTACATTATAAATTATACTCACGTCGATATACGGTCAACGGACCGAAACGTTTCGTACTGCACAAGTTTGCGAAGGATCGACAAAAGTGTATGGTAAATTTAAAATGTATAAAATACATAAAATTCATAAAATATCTCAAATAATAATAATAATAATAATAATAGTTCACGTTTAAGGTGTAAAAAAATAAATAGAGTTGCGTCGCGACGGGACTTCTAATATTTCTGTAAGAACTGTCTGATCCAAGGAAGGTAATGGGAGACCTTAACGTAGACACCGGGCACGCCGTATTGACCACAGCCAACGCCCCAACTCACTATACCAGCAAGGTTCCATACACCGTCTCGTTCGCACACCAACGGACCACCGCCATCACCCTGTGAAGTAAAAAGAGGACTTACTTTCATAGAACTAAAGCAACGACAATTATTTAATCGAAATAACCGGGATCTAGTTCAAGATTCATCTTGTTCCTTCTTCGAGGCAACACGTGACGCCAAGTAGGCGCCTGCGTTGTCAAATTATTTTACAACCGATTTGCCGCCAAAACATATTTTTATATTATTACACCGTGTCCGGCGGGGTTCAGTATGATATTTGTATATTGTGTAGTATACCTTGCAGGCGTCTTTGCCTTCTTCTCCGCCGGCGCATAAGAAACCGTTGTGCAGTTTGAAATCGTAGCCCAGACGGGTCTGTTGCAGTTGCGATTGACACTGTGGATGAGATATCACCGGAACGTCGACTTCCTAAAGAAAACCGGAACAACGGCTCATTAGGTTTATGGGTTTTTCTTTTGTTACTTCGCTAAAATTATATCATTGCGCAACGGTTCCAACAAACGTCGATTTTCATTAACGTGTCGCACGTGTAGACATCATAAATAATAATTACTTAGCCCGTCTTATTCACTAATTGGCGTGTGTCACACATAAAACGTTTCATTTCTGTTTTACTTTGAATAGCACGAGACCTAAATTGGCCAGATAATTAATAATGTGTATTTGTGGAACTTCGATGCTTTGATTCCAATACTTGTTGTAACAATAAAAATAACCGAATTAATCGAACTTTCCAGAATTTAATTTGATTTACTGACACAAACTACTGTGTAGCCCAAGTTTGCTAGGTACATAGTTTTTTTTTTAATGTATTCTTAATGCATAAGTAAAAATGTCCTAATTTCTAGACAGAGTGTCGACGTTTGAATTGGTGCTTCATTACTTTAAAAACGCCAATAATTATTTTTTCTAGATTTAAATGTACGAGTATACATAAACATATAGGTTTTGAGAGCGCCGTGAAATTTTGGTACATAAAATAGAATACTTTGAAAGTTCACGTTATAGGCGCGAATAACCAAAATGATCCGAAAGTCTTAAGTTCCCCGCTTCATTAAACTAAAGAAAAACAAGTATGTAGCCTAAGAGCAATACACCAATTTGGGACGAATTTTTTTTTTGGTCAGTTATTTTTAGAAGCAAAATGTTACCTTGAGTATGTTTTGGTATTTTCCGAAATCGCCAAAAGCGTCTTTACCCCAACCGGTAGTCCAGCAACGCTGTCCCGAAAAATCTGTGTAAGCATCGGGCAAGCACACAGGGCTTATGTGAGGGTTGCGAGCAAAGTCGACCGGTTTCGCCATCCTCAGTAAGGCGATGTCGTTGTACAGCGTACCGGCGTAAAATTCTCGGTTAACGAACATGTCGGCCAAGTCTTCTTCGACGTAAGGGTAGAACTCCACGTCGTGGTTGACATCCCATTCGCCCAACCTTACTCGCAAGTCTTCGTATTTGTATCTATCAACAACAATACCGTTATTGGAATCTCGCCACTGTTTTTTTTTTTAGTGGTTTTTCACTAGGTTAGATGTGACATAATATAAGAAGTAGTTTGTCAATTATGTCAATAGTGGTAAAAATTAGAGAATATAAAATATGTAAGTGATTCGGGCACGGAGGAAAGTTAAATTGTAAAACGGGTAAGACATTTATAAATGGCAGATAGAAATAGTGGAAGAGAATCGCGTCGTAATTGTCAAGTATTTTGTAGTAACTCACGATTTAACGCAATGAGCGGCCGTCAGAATGTGGAAGGCGTCGATCAGAGCACCTCCGCACACGTATACGCTTTCTTGTGGATCTTTCTTGAGGATAGCCACTTGCCACGGGTATTCGCCTGCACGCAAAAGTCGATTAGGTCCCGAGTCGATCAAAGAGCCTAAACATTTTCTTTTTTTAGCACTTACCGAATTCACTGTCTCCGTCCACGTACGAAGGCGTCTTGATCCTGCCGGTGATGCCTTGCGTGTTCCTCTTGCCACACTGACCGCTGTAACCTACTTGATTGGAAGCCGCGCCAGAGTACAAAGGACCTGCTGGCGGTGCCGGTGGACGTCTACAACACACTTGTCTGGGTCCACAACGTCCGTTAGCCGAGTACGACGCTTGACGCTATAAACGGCAAAAGTCCGGTTAAAATGGCTGTACATTTTCCAACGCGCCAAATATAAGTATTATTATTATTATTAAAAAGAAGACGATTATCGTTCGTGACAAAACGGTTAGTAAATAAAATAATATATAATTGTAGTTTATCGTACATTGTGTTTAGTGCTGTCGGCCGATTTCGAAATCGACCGACAGCTATTTGCAGCCAAGTAGCACAAATTAAGCGTGTGTGTGTTTTTTTTTTATTTTTAAGAAGCGGCAAACGAAACACCAATTTTTGTTGTAATCGATTTAGTTAGTTAATGGTTAAATTATATTGTATTACTGTCGAAGTGTATCTTTAATCCCACTGGGACACGCAGTTGTAGTTAGAATGTTAAATGCTTGTTGTCCGATCGCAGTGCAAAATGACCGGACTGGTGCAGGTGTTCCAATCGTCTAAAACCCATTTGGCTTAAATTGTTTTGCCTCGGGACGCTTTGGAACGGAATTATTGTGCGTATTACATCTTGTTAGTTTTAGGGTCGAAGAACATCCAGCCAAACCGATATGATATTAACAATCTCACCTCGTCCACGTCTCTCTTTTGACGTTGGCTGCCTACGAACTTAACGGGACCGGAGGACTGGCGGTCGTTGGGGAATTTCACACTTTTGGCACTATCGGCCGGCGACGGTGGTTCGTTATTATAATTATTACTATTACTGGCCGGAACACTTATATTTGAACTCCTATAATAAGGACCCGAGTCGTAGTCGTCCGCATGGCCGTAATCGCCTATCCCGGTTGATCCGTACCCGCCGGGACCGTAACCACCGGGTGGGCCACCATAACCACCGACGGGTCCGCCGTAACCGTCTTGGTCGTCATAATCTTCGCGGTACGACTGGTACTCGGGCGCGTAACCACCTCCATAACCGTAACCGCCTCCATAGCCACCGCCGTAAGACGGCGGCGGTTTCGAGTGGTAGAACGGTTTAGGCGGACCGTAAAACGACGGACTGCTCGCCGGGTAGTACGACGGAGGTGGCGAATGATAGTGATTGTGTTGGTGCAAGAACGACGGAGGGTATTCGTGGCCGTAACCGTAATGTGGCGATTTTAGTTTGTGCACTATGTGGCCGACCTTGTTGACCAAACCGGCGTTGGGCGTCACGTGCAAGTTCACCCACGGCTTAACGATTTTCTCGCCGTAGTCGTCTTTGGTGACTTGCAGAGACAGCAAGGGGTTCACGCTGACCAGGCCCAAGTTAAGGCCGTTGCCGCCTCCCAGCGAGTTACCGTAAGGGTTGATCGAAGGGTTAGGCCCGTATGGACTAATGGGATAACCACCGCCGCCGCCCGATGGCAGCCCAAAAGACACCCCGAACGTTGGCCGGATTTTAACACCGGAACTCCCGACGTCATCGGCATCCTCGTTCACGGCGCCACCGCCTCCTCCACCGCCTCCTCCTCCCCGAACAGACCCCCGAGTTTCCGCTGTAAATACATACCATCCTGTATCAGACCTAATGTGCCTATACACGTGTGTTCCATCCCAATCGATTGGCATGCACGTATCGAAACGCACATGCCACTAAGTAAAAACCATTTGCAGATTGTACCTAATAATAATTGTCGTTATTTACGTCACGTAGTTTGACTCCAATAATTATTGTTATCAATGTATAATAATAATAACAATTAATATGCATTAGTCGTCCAATTAAATTAAGTCGAGTTACGGTAATGGTTCAATATAATATTTTGAATTGTAATCTCTAGCAATAACTGTAACGCGTCTATTCGAGTTATTAATTTTAAACTCATATATTATGCGAAGCATTGAACAGAACGTAGGCGTTATGTAATATCGTATTAACATAACAAACATATTATTATCGGTTCGCTCTTTCTCTTCGCTTTTACGGATGTGTCATGTTCTTTTTTTTTTTTTTGCCAATTCGCCTGTATTGTGTTTTCGAAACTTTCCAAGGTTGACACGTATGTAAAGCGTAGGTAAGTTACGGACGGCCCCATTTAAGACAGTGGTTTATGCAAATGAGAAAATACACACACACACACAGAAATGTTCGAAACGAACATCTTAATTGTGCAATTTCGAACGAATGAAACAAGAAAATGTCATGTAAACGTTGAGTAAGCGTATACATCGTATGGGATAAGTAGTTTTAATCGAAACACTTGTTTTGTATGGAAATACAGCTATAATAGCGGTCCAAGGAAAATTGTTTTTGTGCTCTTCACGTTTCGCAACACTTCCGAACGGAAGTGATTTTTTTCCATAGGTTTCATTTTCTTTTGTGTTTTCTGATGCGTCTACGGTCTAATGCTAGTGCACGGGTAGTTAATTAATGATTAATGATTAGAATATTCTTTCACTTCTTTTTTTTTTTTACTTTAAACATCAAGTGAAAAACCGTTTACGAGACGTGTAATGTGCGTTTTATGTCCGGAATCGTGTCGGATGTGTCGAGTGTGAGTAAGTGTTTTGTTTGTTGTAGCCAAGAGAAATTTAATCTGCATATTTTAATTACGAAGATTTAATCTACAATTCGATTAGAAGATAACCCCGACCAGACAGTTTTTATGATTAATGAACCAGAATACATGTGAGTTGTGACCTATTGTCGATTGATGGTTTGAAAAGCGTCGGATACATAATTATTGGATGTTATGTAATTGGTCAGAACTCGGGTAAGATAATTCTCCCTTTAAATCAGTTCGGTCGATTAAAAAACTATAATTCACATAACCCTCGGGACAAAAAAATGGCGTGGGATGTTCTTAATAATTCCGTTTGACCGCAACCATGGGTGTCGTTGCAAAAAAAAAAATATATGCTACTTGGCGTTGCATGTTGTTAGTTATGGCGCGTATGGATGGTTAAATCGCACTTACGCCATCAGTTTGTTGGTGTTGGTCGTCGTCATAAGGTATCTCCACGTTGTATCCGTTGCTGGTTAAGTCGTCCACTGTAGGTTTTTGAATGTATCGCTAGAAAGTCCCGTTTCATAGATTATAACAGTAAGTCCCGATAGTACAAACCGTATTACAGTCAACACTGTGTCGGGTTTTGTGTAAATAAGTTATCAAGTCAATCTTTCGGTGGGAGGAAAAACATAATAGTATTTCTATCGATAGGACGGACAACAGTGCACACTATATTATACATCTACGTTTTTTTTTTCATATAATTTATTTATGATCAATGTGACACTTACCGCTTGTGCGTTCTGGTTGTCTTGGGTGGCTACTTCCCTACGCCTACGGGTTTTCGCCTTGTCCTCTTCTTTGTCGTTGACCTTGTGATGCGACACGATTGTGCCGTTACCGTCGGTGATCACAACCTCGTCCAAACCGATCGCCTCGATATCGGTCTTGCCCAGATTTCTCGGATCGATGCCCGCGATTCCGTCTTCTTTCCTGGCCACCTCGTGGGGTAAACACTGGTCGTACGGCACGCAATAGCAACCATAATTGTCGGCTCTGGGACTCTCGTAGGACGGGTATCTTTCGTTAGTGTACGCTCCGGCCAGAGAATCTATAAAACATATCAAGTATTGAGTAAATTGTACGCATTCTCTACTAGCGGTTCTGCACAAAAGTCGGATATCGTCATGTTGTCTTACTTGAAGGCTGCTTGAGGTTGAGTTGTTTCTTATAGAAAGGCCCGGGAGTTTCGTAGTTTTCGAAATTGCCTCCGTAACTGTTAAGGCTGCTCGGGCCGTAAAGGGATCCTTCGCTTCCGTACAACGGTCCGGCACCGGCACCGATTGGACCTAGTCCAGCCGTGTCGATTGTTCCCGGTGCTTTAACGTTGTCGCCGCCTTCGCCGTGGTGGAAATGATGGTGCACGTGCTGTTGGACTCCGCCGACCGGTAAACCCGCAGACGGTATACTAACTGCCGGTTGTACTGGTCTAAATGATTCGGCCGCTTCGGACTCGAACACTTGCGGTGGTGGTCTATTGGGAGTGCCGTAAGAAGGCCCCGGTCGGCTGGAACGTATGGGACTTCCGTACGACGATCCCGGACCGCCGTAAGACGATCCCGGACCTCCGTAAGACGATCCTGGACCCCCGTAAGAAGGTCCTGGGCCACCATAAGACGGACCGCCGGACGGGAACGGCACCGGACGTGGAGGACCATATCCCACGGACAGCGGAGATCCCGCTGTTTTGAGCGGAACGGCGGCGATGGGTCGCCCCACCGGTTTTAGCTGCACCGGTTGGGCGTAGATTAATTCTTGAGGCGCGATGTTACGTTTTGGTTCGACCAAATCTTCATCATCGCACTACAACAACAGAAAAAAGTTTTGTAACGATATTTATTTATCTGCGAAATGCGTGGCCCGACCAAACACTATAGTTATAATAATAAGTGATATCCTTCTGGGTAGAAAGAGGTAAAGCGGTGATTTAAATACTCCGAATTAAAAAAAAAAAAAAAATTAACATTCGACACCCTCTGAGTGACCCAACATTTTGATTCGGTAAACTCGGATAATGTGTTTTATTTTAATATTCAAAGTTTTGGTAAGGTTAGAGGTTCTTAAATACATGTTCGTAATTTACCTCCATAAGACCCAAACCACAGAGTCTATCTCTGATGGCGTGCCTAGATTGGGTGTCGTTTAAAGATCCCGAAATCGAAGTACCGCCTTCTTGGCTGGCGTCGTTGACCTCCGAATAGGAATCTATAGATTTACTTTCACGGTCGCTTGCGCTATTTGGTCCCGCCGTTGGTTTAGCTGCTTGATCCTTACTCTTATCCTTGCTCCACGACCATTCCTCTGCGGTCACAAACACCGCAAACGCAACGAACAGGAACGAGCCCGTCAGTAAAAATTTCATCTTGTAGCTAAAAAAAAAATAATAATAATAATTGTATAGCTTTGACTATTATTATTTTTGTTGAAACGCTATTATTTTCAGCATCTGTGGTAAACTGGTTTAATTATTTTGAGTGCGTTAAGACCCAAGAAGAGTTACGTAAGTTGTATATACGTTTATATTACAAATAATTTACGGTTTTTAAGCTGTTATTATAATTTTTTTTTAAATTTATTAATCGATTTACCTATATTAAACCGTAACCCGAATGGCGTCCGTATTTGCTAAACAGTGTTGTATTATTATGATTATTATTATTGTTATTTTTTTTATTATTATATAAAGTTGCGTCCCGATAAAATATTTCAAAATTTGTTTAACGACAATAGGAAAAAAAAAATCAATGAATCAATGAATGCATTTCAAAACGTTATGATGTCACGTGATGTGTATATAACAACAATAATAATAATGCAGTAAAAACCACTTCATTTCATAACGTTTTTTAGTGGTCACGTTTTGCACGTTGACAGGTAATTGTTCGTCCTCCCTTCCCCCCCCCTTCCCGCGACCGTGTACAATAACGACAATAATAATAATAATAATAATAATATTGTTATTATGCGTTATATTATTTCCTAGACCGTCGGGTTATGCAAAGGGGTGGGCGGGGGTGGTGCAAGGAGGGCAAAACAAAACGCGTGCCCGGGTCTCGTTTCCACCTGGATCACGTGTATGGGCGGACGGCTAGTTAAGTGCGTGTAATGTGTGCGGACAAAGAGAAAGTGACGGTTGTGTCCGAGACGCTTTCACTTTCGGTCGCCCACCGTTTTTTTCTTCTTCTTGAACGTTCTCATTATTATTATTATTACTATAAGTGTGTGTGCGTACGAACCAAGACGCCGCCACCGCCTCCGAGCCCACACTCAATGCCAAGTAACCGCGCCAACGACCTTGCGAACGACTCTGTTGTGTGTTATGTCACCGGGAGGGCACGCGGATAGACGGGAAGAAATAATTGATAATTCGCCCAGGCGCCGAGGCACGTCGAAGGGGAACGAAAAATTGGCGAAGAGGCGTCGATATTTAGAACGCCGCCGATACGTCATGGGCGAAACAATGGTTTGCTAATTTTGTCCTCTTCTTCTCCGGCGACCCGTCGTAGTATTATTAACATACCCACACGTGTATATAATTATTATTGTTAACACAAGGATCATGTAACGCCGGTCGTCACACGAGCTGGGTGTTTCTAAACGGTTAGGGTATATTCGTTCGAAGTATTCTGTAGTCGAATACAATATTATTTTCTGTGAAAGAAAACCCATATCTAGTAACACAAGCATGACACCCATAAACTATTACTATAAATTGAAATATTAACTATTGTATAAAGATAAATGTCTAGTTGTAAATGATACAATTTTGTATGTACATAATCTGTTTAACTAATACTTATTATTTTTGAGTTATATGCGCCACGATAAGATGATTAATTAATAATTTCATATTGTAATAATATAACCTAACTACGTTCGGGGAATAACAACTCGCCGTCGTCAATCAATGTGGTTTATTCGCATTGAAAATAATTACAATTTTGGATATCTAATAGAGTGGGAAAATAATGATAAATGAACGTTTAGCGAACAGGTCGTTTTGTACAGCCGACGAAAAGGTTAAGGTTGGACGGTGGCCGGAGAATAAATTTAACGAAGTACAAATATATCACAGTTGGTATAACCCAAGGCGAATGCAAATAACGCAAAATTTCCGTTTCATTTTGACCTATAACTTAACGAGTGACATAGAAATCCAACAATCAGACGGCGGGGTTCTGCGAAACCGTTTGTTAAGTTTGAGTTACAAGGTCTGCGCGTCACGATGACACTTGAGATTCGCACGAGAGTAGAAGGGCCAATGCGTACAGACGGTAACATACAGTTCGAAGCGGTGGAACTAACTTATAAACTTTTTTTTCTCTATTTCCCGAATTTCTGACTTATTTACCGTTTAGTGTGCGGTAGAAAGTATATAAAAAAAAAATAGCTCGGTACATTGACCACCGGATTATCTGCCGGACGGAGAGATTTTTGAAGTTTGCCCGTATTTGATCTGTTATCGGTTTTATCTACCGACAGGATCGCAGAGATAAGACACGCGTTTGCTTTCACGACGTTCGTGGGAACATTTAACGCAGAAACTTCATCGGCAAGATCAATGTGAGGCGTGCATCCCACAATGCGCTCACGTAGATCTCTAGAAAATTTGCCCACGTTACAAAGCTGTACGCCGAAAACGATCTGTTGCCAACCGGAAAAAGGGTTGTTTTGTATACTGTGTGTGTGAGAGAGAAAGTGAATTATCAAAATATAGTGTATGCAAGAAGAATACAACGTCTTCGTCGTCGGCGCCCACTTGAGGTGTTTGTTTATGGATTACCCAATAGACCGGGTCGCCATAATAATATTATTCTATTCAATGCGATTGTCACTCGTTAATACCGGAATGGAATAATATACCGGCACACGATCCGGGGCCGTCTCGACCTCACGTTTCCTCGTCGGGAGCGTGTCTACCGGAACCGATCGAATCCACCCGAAATTGACCAATTTAATAATAACAATATCGCGGTTAGTAAAATAAATACTAATTCTATTCGCACATGACAACACCGTACGGAAGTCTTGTACAAGTTTAAGACAAAAAAGTGAATTACATCATCGCCGTTGGTTTTTCGGAAGACCCGTGAGAAGAGTCTGAGAATTAAAACTACTCGCTAATTCGTAAACACACGTGAATTATAATAGATGGATAATTCAATTATACAATTATACATCAACGTAATAGTGTTACGTTGTTTTGAATTTCTATGCAGATTCGCCGGAGCAGCGTAGGCTGACGTCTTGGATAATAACATACAGAATGTCCAAAATTAAATGCAGCTTTATCTAATATAAAACAGCTATGGTTAACTGATACGCGCATTTTTATTGTAATACCAATTATATATTACCAATAAACATAACAGATACCAATTAACAGACAAAAGTTAACGTTCGAATCTCACTTCATAAGACCCTGCAAAAGCATACCATATTCTATCACTAAATTTTGTTCTCAGTGATTTTAAAGTAAAACAAGGATAAAACTGACTCAAAGGTATCGCGCTGATTGTGTGTACAATTGTCTGATGCTTAAATAGTCGCACATTAAATGGGATTTGCTAATTTAAGATTACTTTTTGGAAAAATAGAACAAAAATCTTGGGAACTCCCTTAATCTTTGATTTAACGTTAGTTTATATTTTTTTAACGAATTGGTTTTTAAATTTGTAAAGAAACATTTACAGTAAAAATAATAAAGCTTCTTGTTTTATGAATTTTGTAGATCTAGAAAAAGATTTCCTTAATAAATAAGAGAAAGAAAGATTTCTATTAACAAAAATTGTAATTAACTGATGTTTAATGTTATTTTTTTAAAACTTTTTAATGAATTATTGTAATTAAATAAATTGAACTCCAGTAAAAAAAAAATAATACAATGATATCAAAGGAAATCTTAAATCCTATAATGAACTAAACAATTATTACAAATTTGCAAAAAAAATTATTCGAAAATAAGAATCTTAAAACTAATTAAAACATCCAATATTTTTATAGGAGTAAAAATAAATTATTTATTTTTATTGTACACGGTGTTACTTATAGCTAACGAATATTATATATGATATATGATTAATGACTATTATTTAATTCACTTTCAATTGTTTTTCTTCATTATTAATGATGATGGTAAAATACTTTTATTAAAATATACTTCCTGTTAGTAATAGTTGTAAGTACATTGTATAATATCATAATATTCCATTACTGTTTAATCCAAACCCGGAAGGTTAACACGTTTTTTAATGATCGGATCATCAACAACATTTTGTGCCTTGTGGTTAGGTATTTATTTTTAATATTTAATTTTAAATACAATCAAATATATTGCATCTATTGTTGCAAATACCAGTTAAAAATCTAATTTAAATTAATGTTTTGTTAATGAATAAGAGTTTTTATTTTATTTTAACTGAATGTCAAAACAAGAGCGGTAAACAACATAGTGTGATTTGCGGGTGCTTCTCTGCACAGTCTTTTCTTCGACAAAATGTTTCACACTTACGGAGGGTATATAATTTATAAATGTTTTAAATAAAAATATTCTTTCATTGCCGGGTCAAAATTAAATATTATAAGGGAAGGGTTTTTTTTATAAAGAACAATTGTTTTAAAACCCTATTAAGAATAAGGTTTTTAGAATTTTATACTTATGTGTAAACCAATAAATGTATAATTTTATTTTGCAATAGAAGATATGGTATATTGGTTATATTAGGTTTAAAATATTGTTTCACAAATCCTAATAAACCTAATTGAACTGTCCGAACGAACGATTTATGAAATAAGTCATTAGAAAACCTAACTGAAGATTTATGAAAACATTTTTAGTTTATGTTTGGCTTACTGCCATTAGACTGACTTCTTTGTGAGCAATAGTAGTTTCTTTTAAAAAGCGTTAACTAAAATACTATGAAAATACAACAAAAAAAAAGGGTGTTGTAAATAACTTTAAAGTTTGAGGGATAGATTTCAACGTTATAAATTATTTTTAAGCGAGAATATTAATAATTATTATAACTTAATATTACACGAACGTGTGCAACGAAATACAAAACAAAAATAATATCTTAAAAACGTTTACCTTTGTCAGCAGTACGAGGTAAGCAGATGAAATGTGCCGGAACAGTGTCGGCAAAGACTGTTTGTTGGACCGGCTGTATTAGTGGTCTCTTCACTTGGACGGACGTAATACACTTTCTCCAATGATCACAGACTGACCTGGGATTACAGTAATGGTCCGATTTATTATGTATTTTTTCGTCCCTACTATTTTCGTTTTCAAGATGCATTTGTCCGCCTTCTTACTCCCTCCTGCGCCTTTTCGCTAAAAAAAAAAAAAAACCCAACAACAACAAACCTAAGGCCGTTCACTCTCGACGAAAAAACCAATTCTTAGCAATCAATGCCATTCTTCTTTGGACAAACCGTTGGCCATGTTCCCGGAAACCGTCAAGGCTCTTCGAATGGAGTAGCTACGGTTATTTCTGAAACAGACCGGTAAACCGGATCTATGTTCTGTGATGCAAATCTATTGTTTTCTCCGGATCTTAACAGTCATCGAGTGCCCTATGACGTACAATCTTGCACGCGTCGTTTATTTAATTTTTAAATTATCCAATATTACTTAACGGCAATATTACCGTCATTGTCGTTATAGATTTTTTTTTTTTTTTAATGGAAATATTATTATTATTATGTTTTGACCACAAACACTATAGAAAGCAACGGCTGAGCTCTAGTGATCGACTTATGCCGTCCGTTGACGCAACAACGCAATAATAAATTTGTAAAAATTGTATAACGGTGGTTGTTATTATAATTTCGTAAGGTGTCTATTATTCATGAAAAATCTGTAACAGAATTTGCGTGGGTATAACCTTTGTCAAGTCTCATAACAAATGATTATAGGGATGAAAAATCATTTTTGGCGAGACAACAAAATTGTCACTATATTGTGCTGGGTACGAAAAAAAATTTGGTTAATTGACAAATCATACGTTATAAGATCTATGTATAAATGATTACTAAACGTGGATTTTGTTTACTCAATTTTTTCTCCAAGAACTACAAACCAATCTAAAATTTGATTTTTGAATCGTTCAACAAAAATGTACCAAATTATGTTGTACTTGTATTATCACAGAATCTTTTAAATTGATTTTTATGGTGAGCAAGCCGTCATTATAGTGATTTAATCAATTGAAAAACTCAATCAAACGCATTTAAAGCCATGCCTATTGTTCACGAAAAATAATTCATATAAAAAATATGAATGCATTAATTTAAAGTTACTTTTTGATAAAATTATAAGAATATGTATTGGTATGGATAAAACTGAAAGTAGCTTTGTGAACACAATTAACAGCACCTACACTGTACACAAAAGTGAAATGAGAAATTGTTTACCTGTGTGGATGATGATACACAAATACAATGAAGTGTAAAAAACGTTGTTACCTACACATCGTTGGTAATTTATAATAATATATATATATTTTTATATTTTTGTTATCGTTTGAACAAGTCAAAATGTCTGACTTAAACTTATTAATGGATGTATAAATTTATAAGAAAAACCCATTAACTTTTTACTCTATTAATTAGTTGAAACGGTATTTTTTAGACCGGTATGTTTTTTTTAAACCACAATCAATTTGTCTGAAACTTTCCCCATATTCAAGTTATATTCTCTTGAATAATTCAATAAATTATAAATTTAAATTTGTAAATATAAACTTGAATTTAATGTCATTAAAAGCGCTAATTACTTTTTTTAATTTTTATAGATGAAGGTATAAAACATTTTTTTTAAATTTAATATTAACTAGTCGTAAAACTTAAATAAGGAAGTGCAAAGTGTAATGTAATAGTAGTATGTGTAAACCGTTTAGCGGTTTATGACACATAGGATCTCGGTCGTGGACGGATAATGAATGCTAATAACTATTAACCGGATACGACGATGATATAATACAAAACAAATTATTCAATCGACATGGTTAATATGTTTATTAAAACTTATACTTGATTATATGTTTTATCCTACATTTTTCTTAGATATGTGTAACAATGGAAGTATTAAATTACTCCATTGTTCGGATCATCTATATACTGATAGATATTTATTTTTATGGAAATTTAGATTCTAAATAGGTATAAGTGACTTTTGTAAAATTAAAAAAAACGAGAAAAATTTAAATTATTTTTTCCTATGTGTTCTTATGGGCGATGTTCATTAGTTTTCTTCGATATGTCTTCCGTAAATTTAAAAACTACCCGGATAGAAATAGGATTCAGTGATAAATAAAGTGTAAGATAAGAAACTTGTTTATGAAAATAATGCACTTGGGTTTTGATTAATAAAAATGTATAGTTTAAGCCTCAATTTGCAAGTGGTTTTAGACTCGATTATATATGCACACGATTAAAAATGTTTCACCTACTTCAGTAGTGGACATTTTTTTTGTTTTTTTTTTTTTGGAAAACTCGATTCGTGCGTTATTTATTTTAACAAACGATAGTAGGTAACGATGGTTTGCATAATTTTCAGAAATAAAGTGATACGCTAAATGTCTGGTAAAACGTGCCGGTTGCATAATCGAATTTGGGATTCGAATTGTCTTGCCAGAAGTATTTCCAAACCATCAGTTTCGGACCAATAGGCATTTGGCGAGTTTAATCAACGAGCTGGCAAAACGGCGTATGCCTAATCGGATTTTCTGATTGCATCCTAACCGTGGCCGAAGAATTTTACAATGGGGAAAACCCCATGGGTGTCTTGGTGCAAACACACTGTTCGGTACGCAGCCCGCCGCGGCGAGTAGGTCATCGACTCAATGCCACATATCAGGTATGATGTAACACGACGGGCCGTGTAGTGCACATACGGTATACCTATAGTGTGTGTAATTTTACATTGGGGAATATCCGCGCTTGTTTTCGGCCTAGATAAATAAAGTAATTGTGTACGAACCGCTCGATTATTTCAATGCATCGCTCGCTTGCATAGGTTAATGTGCAAAAATCTCATATTGAGATTTAACTTGTCGAGGGGCAAGAAATGTTACCGATAAAACTATAAAAGACCCTTAAAATGATTTTTATTTTTATTTTCAATTGCTTTTGTAATAACCTAAAAATGATAAATCAACAAAATTATTGGATAAACATATATAAGATACAACTCTACAAATCGAAATAATAAGTGACCGCATTACTCTAAAGGTGTGTTTAGTTGACTATTTTACGTGATCATCACTTCTAACCAACGCTAAAATATATATATATATATAACTACCACTCCTAAATGGCTTTAATAAAAGTGGCCAATATACTACACACCGCCTCTCAAAGAGTTAATAAAAACGGGGTTTTCATTGGCAGGGAGTTTCTTATTATTTTGCACTTCGTTAATATTAGTGGTAACCTTAACTCACATGGTTGACTTCTAATAATTTTCTTTACATTTCAACAGAGCTCAAAAAATCTTAGTTAAAAGAATGTATAGTCATGTTTTTTTAGGATTAACATATATAACACGTATTATGAATATAAATAATACAAAATTGTTTAAACAAAATTATGAATGTAAAATTGCGTGTTGGTGATTCATCGAATAGTTGTCATTTTACGTGCATTGCGCAAAGTATTTTTCTTGTCTGACAAAAAAATGTTGTGTAACAAAACTTTTATTTCTTAACTTTGATTCTCTTCCTAGAAGATAATCGTACATAAACTTCTCATTGTTTGTAAATAAAATTTAATTTAATTTTTAATTAATTGTTTATTATTTTTAATTTTTGTTTTTACTTCAAATATGATAATACACACATGCATAATGCAATGTGTGCACATTGTGTATCAGTACATCATACCAGAACTGAACGTGAATTAATTTTGTTTAAAAAATAAATATAAGAATGTAATTCCTTTTTTAAACTGCTTAAAGTGCATTTGTCTAATCGAAATACAATTTTTATAAGAATGTTTGTTTTTTTATTTACAATTTTTGACAGTATTAAATAACAATAACTCGATAATAATGTGAAAAATAATAAATAATACGTACGTTTTTCTCACAAGAAATCCTGACCGAGTTACCTAATTTTGAAAGTTATTATTTCCGCTAACAATAGTAAGACAGTACAGTATATTGTATAATATAAAATATTAGTTACCTAGGTATATACTATGTATGTTTATTAACAGTTCAACCGCTTAATAATGATCAGTTTTTTTTTTGTAAACCACAATCAATTATTGTTATGTATTTTTTTTCGTCTGAGAATTACCGTTTTTTTATGACTCATAGCTATCTGTACATGTATATATTTTATGAAGAAACTGTCCTGTCCTCGTTAACGTGTTTAGCTTTGCGTAGAATTTACACAACTTTAATTCTTTTAGTTATGTTAAAAAATAATAAAATTAAATATGTTACAATTTGTCGGGTTGCAATATTAATTCAAATATTTTTTCTATTAGAAACATATTATTAAATTAAATTTTAAAATAAAGAATATGATGTACGTTGTCTTTTATGTAATCGATAAAGTTGACGAGGTTGACCACTTTTTCTGAAAAGTCATTTCAACTTTTAGCTTTTCTGCAAAGTAAAACATTAACACTTTTCGTGTTGTTAAATATTTAGTTTTTATCTCAGTGAAACCCATTTTCTTTAGATTTTATGATTTTATTTTTTGTGCCACTACTGTTATTCTGAACTATTATTTGTACCTATTCGTATTGTATGTTCAAATAAGATTTTAACAATTATTGTTTTTATTATATCGATATATCAATAAAATTTCTCCTTTCGGTTTGTAATGCATATCAAGATGTTATGTGAACGCGACACATTGCTTGTTGCTAAGCCCACTATTGCTTAAAATCGAATCTATATAAATGTTAATGAAGAAACACTTCATACTCGCTTTATCACTACGTTATAACAAAGCAGTATGTAACTTGCTAATAATTATACATAATATGTGTTATGTAATAAATGATGTGCATGATACGCTTGCAAGTTTGATGACACTCAATTTTACAACACACTGCGGTGACGCCTATAAGTTACAAATATTATATAAATTTAAAATCTAAATAATAAGCAGTCAGAGATTAAAACCGGCCTCCCGCCATACAACTAAACGCCAATAGAAAAATATAATTTCATTATTTATCGATAAAATATCATACTTTATGTAGTAGAATTACATGGA